TTTTTGTTATTAACAAACAAAATATTAATAATTTGTATATTTTTTATTTTAATTAGTAGATTTAATTAATTAATAAATAATATATAATTTATTAATAAAAATATTATAATTGAAAGTATACTTTTTAAAATATTATTATCAACTATAGATTTAGATATATTCTCAAATATATTCTGAATCATTTAAACATTATCTATTTCAAATACATCGCCTTTCAAAGGAATTGCTTTAACCCTTTTATTTGGATACTTTTTTATTAATTCAATCTTAATTTTGATATTATTAATAGGCTTTTTCTTAATTGAAGGAATAAAAAGGTACTCGAATTTCAATATTAATCTTTTTAAACTATCTAGCTCAAACTTGATTGGAGGACCTGAACTAGTAGATTACTTAATTATACAAGAGCTCTTATCTATCTCCTATAAGCTATAATCAGTGATATCCTACTCTATTAAAAGGAACATAAAATAAGAATCCCCTTTCCCTTTAAAAATCTTTTTATTTTTTTAAGAATCCATATAATATATTAATACTGTCACGGATCGCACCCAATCACAGTTGCAATCGCTTATGTGCGTGCTTGTGCATATACACGATCATATATATATAGCTAGTATATAGAAATGCTTTATAAACGCTTTGCTCCTGATTCTATAATTATAGATTCTAAGAATAAATTGTATCCTGCTCTTGTAATTCTTTTAAAACAAAATATTATATTATTTACAACTTATTTAATAATTATTCAAATAATATCTTATAACTATAATATCTTTTTGAATAAATTATATATCGATATTATTTATAGAAAAGAGATTTATTTCAATTAAAATTTAACAAAAATATTTCCTTTAAATATATAAAGTTACAAATATTGCTATTATATCTTTTATATTATTCAATTCAAATTATAATTCATTTATTTTGAAAAACTTATATTGTTTATTTACTAATTAAATTTCTATATTCAATAATAATCAATCTCAAAAGAATAATAATAATAATCCTTACAATTTTAATATAAATATAGATAGATATAGAAAAAGCAAAAAATACAAAAATGATTTTTCGATTAAGATATTAATTCTTAAGAATAATAATCTAAAAATTACTCTTCATAGTTATTAAAAATAAATATTAATAATAAAAATATTACAAAACAAAATTACAAAACTTTATACAGAATTGTTATAGTATAATCCTAATACTATTTGTCTGTTTTATTTGTATATATAATAATAACAATATTATATAGATTTCTCTAAAAATCATAAAATCCAGACTTCTAATATTTCTATTACCTTTATTAAAAAAATATCTCTTACTTTCAGAAAAGAAAGAATAAGAAAAAGATATATTTATAAAATCAATCTTTATAACAATCTCTTTCCTTTTCTAAAAGTAATCTCTATTTACTAATAATCACATTTAATTACAACTCACTATTTATCAAATATTCCACTTTCGTTTTAATATTATTCTTATAAAAAGACTATATATTCTAAAGCTCATTAATCTTTTATTTAAACTTAAAGATAATATAAAACTAAAAGTAAGTTTATAATAATTATTAATTATAAAATAACTAAAGCTATATATAATATTATTTATTATAAAATCACAATATCAATCTTATATAATAAATTAAATAAAAAAGAAAGTTCAAGAATATCTATATTCTTTATATACCTATCGTAGGTCATGAGCTAGTATATGAGTATTTAGTATAAATAGAATATAAGAGGGAATAGACTAGTATTAGTCTATTATGGGAAGCTGGCTCAGTTTAACAACTAAAAGCAATAAAACACGTGATATTTATGAATCTGTATATTGGTATCGAATTTCTTATTCTATATTAAGAGGGAAAAAGCTCTTATTTTATACTTTTTCCAATCCAATCTAGTTTTCCGCTTTCGTTAATCTCTTGTAGATCTCTTCCTAATCCGGCCATTCCTTCGAAATAAAGCTCCTTTTCATATTCTTTATTAATAGTCGTTTTCGGAAACTAATAATGATCGTTTTCGGAAGCTAAATATGATCGTTTTCGGATGGTTGCTTTCGGAAGCTTATAATCGACGATCACGTGTTTTTGATCATGTGATTCGATACTAGTATAGAACTTTATTATATATATATTCAAAAAGATATATTATTATATTATTTTATAATAAAAACAATATATTTATATAATGAATTGTAAATATATATCAATATATGTATAAATCTTGATCCCAATAAAGATTAATTTATTATGTTTATTGATAAACTAGATATAGTTTGGGCTGGGGACTTGATTGTTACAACGGATTAGTAACAGGCTGTAGAATCACTGACTTATAGGCTATAATGGTATTATAGGCCTCAGTGATTCAGCTGCAGTATACCGGGGGACACTGGGCACCTAAGGAAAGCCTTAGGCATATATATAGTATTAGTTATAGAATACTTTAGGAATCTAGAATATAGTTTTTAGGATAGTAGGTTTTAGAAAAGATAGAATACAATAAGCAAGAGGCTTTATTAAGATTAGTAATATTCCAGAGAATTAGGTTCCAGGACAAAAGGATAAGCTAGGACAATAGGAATCATGGGATAAGTGTTATATGATCAAAAGCCGATTGATTTATCGATCGACTTGTTGATCAATTTGTCGGTCGATTTTAGTACAAAGGCTTATATAGGAAATGGGTTTCATTATAAGGTAAAGCTTTATGCTCAAAAACAATCATTAGTTTTATTATTATAGTTATAAGAATTGTAATCAGTTATAACCTTATTGAATTCCTACTTGAAGTCTAATCTAAACCACCTCGAGAGATCTCTAGACACTTCCACGTGACCCTAGAGGCAGCTCCCGTAACATTGATACTCCCTACAAACGGATTAAAGTTTTTTAATACATTAAAGAATCCCTTTAGGATCTATAACTTGTAATATATCGAATAATATATCTCTAAAACAAATATAGAATATTAATATAAAAACACTTTAAAGTTTTGAATAAAAGAAATAATATTATATCTTAAAACAAGCTTCCCTTTTCTTTGAAAATAGATATACAATAATTTCAAACAAAAAGACCATTGTTCTCCGTAAAGAGTGGCTGGCTCAATGATAAAGTGATTGGTGCCCACTTCTGCTCAAAGCTATATCCCGATTGATATTTGTCTTTTCGAAGTCTAATTATTTATGAAACTACAGTTTATTATCTATATACAATCAAAGAAAGACACTATACCCCCTTCCCGATTCTCTAGCCCCAATATAAAAGAATCTCCATTCCACCGTTACCCCATCTCCCTATTAGAAAAAATAGTTCCATCCGTATTCGAGCAGTTACAATATACTTTCCTTTCTCGACAATAATAATTGCTTGTTTACAGTAGCCTATGATCGTTTTGATCTTTAACAGTTCGATTACTCCGGCCTTTATTAATTTATAATTATTTAGCCTTTATTAATTAATAATCCTTGCCTTTTCACAAAGGCCTCGAATAACTCTTGGACTTTTTAGTATAAAGTGAGTTGGATAGTTTGAACTTGTAAGTTAGAGTGGAGCGGCAAGAGTGCTTGTAGTGTAGCTGCCTTGCTTGCTATTAGCATTACAGCTGTAGAAGAACGGAATGCTTGGTTATGCTAGTAATTGTATGTATATAGAATTGTTAGTTTAGTCCATCCCTAGTACCCCCTGGGAGGTTTGTGGCGAGCCCCTGTGGCTTGCCCCCCGGATATAAAATAATAAATAAATAAATAAATAAATAAATAAATAAATAAATAAATATACAATAATTTCCTACTATAACCTTAAATATACTCCAACTTGATATTGTTTTTTAGAATATTGAAAAGTTATTAATCTTATTATATTATTCTTTAAATATAAGTTTTTTTTAAAGTTTTAGTAATAAATATATTTTTTAATATAATTTGTAGAGATATTATACTTTTTAGTTTTAAAATTATTTTTATTTTTTGATTATTAAATAATAAAGTGAAATATACTACAATCTGATTTCTTATTATAAAATTGTTATAATCGATTCTAGGTTTTCAAATTAATTCTTAAATATTTAAGATATTTGTTTATAGTTTTAATTGTAATTTCAATATCAAATTCAGAGAAAAGTAATCATTTGATATTATTAATATTGTATTTATTATTATATTATTTATAGATTAATTTTTATATCGAGTATCGAGTTAATATAAATTGAGATCGAATTATTATAATTGTACAAATAGAATTGAATATAATGAATAAAAAAATAAATAAAAAATAAAAATTTATAAAGGAATAGTATACTAAATTCAATAAAATTTAAAGAAAGAAGGAGCATAGAATCATATAGATAGCATAATAGCAGGTAACATTTATTCTTATTTACACACACCTAAATACTAAATATATTTTTAGCTTAGGTAGAATTCTATTTTTAGGTTTGTGCTAAATGATTCAAATCGGCCTTAGTAATTAGGTAGATATATATATATATATATCCTTCATTAACCACCCATAGATAAGGTTACGATGTCATACAACAAAATAAACAAAGTCTCTCATTCTCTCCAACTCTAGTACAAGAGCGTTTAAATTCAAAAGTATATATAAATAATGTTAATCCATTTTCAACTCATTTCCAATCATAATGTCACCCTATTCGTTGGAGAGAAAAACCAGATCGGAATTGACCACTGGCGAAGCTCTTCAACATTCCAATTGTTCTATTTCAGTTCAAAGAATCAAAAGCTTGAAAAGTCTTATAACTGGAGACTATCCAAAGATTTGTTTGATTGTATCAACTATTTCAATTTCATTTGTGGTTGATTTATTATAGAATTTATCGGGTAATTAATTCTGGGCCTCTTTTTCTCCTATGCATACTCGCATAGTCACCTACCTTCCTATATATCTCATTATTCATCACAAAACCATTTTCATTCCAATTCGTTAGGTATCACCAGCCAATTATATAATGACGTAAACGCGGAATCGAGTATCGTACTAGGTAGTCAACTTAATACAACCACCCATCAGTTGCCACAACTTTTGTACATCAGAAAGGTAACCATAGTACCTTAGAACTTTAATTGCTCACCCGGTGTATCATTTACAAACACATAATAAATCATACATTTTCCCTAGCTCCGACACACTCACTCACCGCACGCCCTCGCACATATCAAAATGTCATTCGAAGGAGTTCCTGACAAGATGCTTGCAGCACAAGTCGTTGAAGTAAGTATAGTATTTCTTTTCAAAAATGCACTGTGGTACTCTTATCAAAAGAAACCATTCGGGTGAAAAGAAAATCAAGGAGGTAGTCACCCGAACACAAGAGATAGTAGGTTAGGTTAACACATCATTCAGTTCAATAAACCCTACAAGATCCACTACATCCCCACTCCACGCGGTCCCCTCCACGAGCACGATATCCTAGTACGTGTGGCTGCGGCATCTCTCTGTCACACAGATGGCATGGTGTTGGAAGGCATAATGGGGACATCGCTCCCTTGTATCGCCTCGCACGAAGGAGCCGGCACCATCGTTGCCACAGGCTCTAGTGTGTCTGGCTTCAAGCCAGGAGATCGCATTCTGTGTAGCTTGAATTATCATCGTTGTGGCGTCTGTACTGATTGTACTGGGTCCGAGCACGAACAGCAATATTGTGCTAGTAGCGGAGGACATCTCGGAATTCACAGAGATGGCTCTTTTGCTGAGTATGAGGTTGTAGACGGGAGGGAGTGCAGTTTGTTACCGGATAATCTGAGTTTTGAATCGGCAGCTCCGTTGGCTTGTCTGGAATCACTATTTGTAAGTCTGCATCTCATGTTATAATTCACAGGGTATTCAATTAGTCCGTCCGGAATGCAGCCCAACAATCCAAGGGTTTGAATGTCTAAAAGCAATTGGAAATTTGAAAATAGTTCAATATTTCAATCAAATTCAATATCTCAAATGGTCTGAATGTTCTAATTAGTTTGGGGATATGATAATCTTCATTGTTGGACTGCACTCCGGACTATTAGACGCCCAGGAACTTCAACTTCAACTCGTGAATCCAAATTTATGCGATACTAAACCTTTTGCGAAATTAGGGGGTGGCCTCGTGAGAGCGGGCTTGAAAGCAGGAGAATGGATACAATAGTAGGAGCAGGTGGAGGTCTAGGTCATTTGGGGTTCAGTTGCTAAAGCCACTAGGTCTCAACGTCATTGCGGTTGATGCCAGAGACGAAGCGTTACAACTTGCTAAAGATTGTGGCGCTGATGTGCTAGTAGATGCACGTCAAGATAAAAACCAAGTCGTAGAGGATGCCCAAAGGATCACGGGTGGCCTAGGTGCAGACTCGACTCTCAACGTTAGTGATCATGAAAGCGCTGCAGCAACAGCGGCCGCGGTTACAAAGAGGCGTAAGTCGTTTTCCGCTCTACAATATGCATAGAGATATTATGACGTTGATAAGGATGAGTTCCTTGTTACTCCACACAGTTTCAATCGGAAAGGTTGCTGACCCACGTTCGCCAAAATAGACGGAACGATGATTCAGATTGCTCAGCCCGAGAAAATTAGCGTCCCCTTTGAAGATGTGATTTTTCGGGATATCAGAATCCATGGGAGTCCTTGTTGGTAAGTTGACGTGGTCCCTGGCCCCCACAATCATTATCTGACCAGGAGTGTAGGATCCCAAGGCGAAAGCACAAAAATGCTAGAATTAGTATCAAAGCACAACATTAAAATTCAAACAAACCCATTTAAAGGCTTGGGAGAGATTCCCAAGGCAGTGGAGCTCGCTCACTCAGGCAGAATGAAAGGAAAACCTGTCATCTTAGTGGATGACGAGGCCATTGAAAGAGAGAAAAAGTCGGGACTACAAATGATATGAGCAGGGGTTTGAGAGATCCCTCCCTCGCCACGATCTTTCGCCCTGAGTCATCATGGAAAGATATGATAACAAATCCGATACAATATCTAAGGAATTTAGGAAACTTTGAGGGATAATAAATAATATTTTTGTGGCGCTACCTTGAAGTGCACTAGAACAATTTGAAAAATATAGATAGCACATCTCAGCACCTCTACAGTATCCCCTTCTAGTCTAGTAACGATGTTTTCTAAACATTATACGCCAAATGGTATCTGGTATGAAACAATATTTCAACATTCCCAAAAAAATACAGTAAAAGAATTCTGCAAATAGAACACGAATCTGACGGTACCTGACCATGAGATGATATACACGAAGATAAGAAATAAAAAACAATGAATTCTATCCTTCCACTGTTGACCATAAGTCAATCTTGTCTGGCAAGCTTTACTTCATGGCACGTTTTCCACGTCGATCACTGGAACTAGCAGATCTGCCGGACCGCTTTCCCAATGTTGAACGAGTTGAGGAACCTCGTCTAGTTCTTAAAGAAGAATTGGGTACTCCGAGAGACGACGGGCCAGCTACGGCATACGACGAAGCGCTTGGTCCAACACTGTAAGAAGAGCTGAGGTCGGTAGAAGCAGCGCTTCTAGCCGGCATGGCTGACGAAACAGAAACTAGAGGAAGCCCATAATTTACTCTGAGCTTCGAAATGAGCTGTCCCAATCTATTCACATAGAGTCGTCTTGGAGAAACGAATGCTACACTGCTAAAGTCGGTGCGAAGACGATCTAGGCGACTGACAAAATCACCTGCGGCAACGACGTTCCCAGGCAAATATTCGAGCGCATCAATGATGAAGTCGCTTCTATCTGGAATATTTTCAGATTGTGGACCAAGTAAGTTCAAGTAGAGGTTTCGATTCGTTAATTGTTCTCCATGAGGTCTGCTGCGCCGAAAAGAATGATTAGAGTATACGTCGACATTGCGCGAGCGAATAGCCTCCAGCATTCGGATCAACATTGCTGCTGCTTGTAACTGATTATTCCTACTCATACCGACTCTCCATCTCAGATTGTCTCTCATTGAATCACTAATGTGTATGAGAGCTTGAGCACACCATGGTACATTGTGTTCAAAATCAACATTGTCGAATGGCGTCATTGCATCCCAATTTGAAAGGTTGCCAGAAGCTGCATAATCATCTAGTTGGCGGAGTGATTCGTTGAATTTGTCCTCCATTTTGTGTAGATACATAATATCGCGGCGCTCTCTGGGGATGTGTTGTTCAAATCGATGAAAGATGACATCGTCTTGAGTCAGTAATTTGGCCAGAGTTGCTTCCAGGTTATAGGGAACAAGGACGGCGTCGTTGTGCACAGCGAAATCAAAAATATCTCGGTACTCGTCTGCCACTGCTTGTGGATGAAAAAATGATAACATATCCCTGACGTCAGCCTCCCTTTCGCGGGTTGTTGTACTTGTCCTTGGTCTCTCGTTCTTAAGCGACCATTGAGGGGCTGGAAAAAGATAAGGCTCGTCTGAGAAATCCCATCCAAGGTCGTCACATACATTGGACATGCCACGCTCGTTGAGGCGTTCGTAACAGTCATCGCCGGCGTCTATGCCCATTGCCGACTTCAGCCTGGCAATGTGGAAGCAAAGCTCTTTTCCGCACGAGCACTTCTCTTCTCCTCCCTGCCTTAATGAGCCAATTCGAATACTGCGAGTTTCAACCTCCGCCACACCAACTTGGAAAGCGAAGTATGGACTCAGTTGCTCTCTTGACTGTCTCCTTGATCGTACCAATCTACAATGATCGACAGCGAGCACAGTGTGTAGGGACTCATCGTCGGAATCTTCATCCTCCGAGAAGACGCCAAATTCCTGGGATCCTCTCTCTCTGCCCTGATTATGTTCTTCATCGCCGTCGTCATTGTCAGGGTATCCTGAATGATTGCTATCGCTATCGCTATCAGAATCCCCGTCACCAGAAGTAACTTCTCTTCTCAAGGGTTCATGGGAGTAGATCTGACCACTCCGTGTTGCATGCATGGTCTTGCTGATGTAAAGGTCGCAGAAATTTGGAAGCGGGGACGACATGAAGGTAAATACGCGCAGGATATCAATGTCGAAATCCCATGATGATGCTGACGACTTTGTGACTTATATATCTTACAAACTTGTGCTTTCTCCCTCCTTCTACCTATAAACTTTTTCGTCATTTTGTTAGTATGCAGAGGATTAGAAGCAATGGATGCTCAGCCTTTGGAATAGTAACAAAATTTGGTATCATTAGTAGGTCAAAAATGCGGTCGCATGGGCCCTTTTAGAGGTCGGCTGGGTAGGAGGACAAGGCATTCATATGAATAAGATGTATGATGTACGATGTAGACTTGTTGGCACTCTATTACTTTACCATTTTGGTAATAGTTTGCGATGCACCTAGCATAATCAAGTAGAAGTATGGAGTCAAGCCACAATAGTCGCTTGCGGCGTTAAATTTTGGTTGGACGATACTGGCTCGAGACTGGATGATGTTATTGGAATTGGAAAGATGGGATGGCGGAGAAATTCCAAAAGCACAGACGGAGAGACCAATTGACGGAGAGCCATACAAACCCCCGAAACAACAGAACGCCGGATAGATTACATTACGATAAGCGACCAGTCTCGAGCCAGTACACACAAGTATCTAGGTAGTAACCAAGAGGTGGACCAGGCTGACATTCGAGCTGATTGAAACATTCAACCATTAAATTCATGAAATTCCTTCAAAAGATCTATAGATGAGGTATGTCTATATTCAGTGCTGGAGGACCGTAGGCTCACTCCTTCAATCTCGATTCATCCAATTCCCCCTTCATCATTAATTCGCCTACTTTTGCCATCGCTATGCCACCGTTGTGCTAATTGCAACAATCATTACCGCAAAAGGAGTGAAGAACGAAATAAGTGGTCATGGAAATAACTCAACGTCATTATGGATCGCCCCGGGGTCGACTATTTGACTGCAGTAGGGGGATTGAGGATTGCGGAATTGTGGCCTGGAGTTGGACGCTGGGCACTCATCACTACTCAATTATTAATGGTCAACATTACGACGAAAGAAATGAAAAGTATGACACTTAAGCACTCAAGAAACTTTCGGAGTTGGTGCATTGCAGTAGTGTATTAGGCCACTCTCTTCACCACCCCGTATTGTTTCCAATCGAAGTTAGAAGTTTCAACCCAAAAAAGAAACAAACGCGTTATTCCTGCATGTTCGGGCACTCTTCCGCATCATTTGAATGTCAAGTGACAAGATGAAGGTGGTAAGGATATTACTATGTTCGTGGCGCAGCGCGGCAAGTGGGCCACAAAATTCATTTCTCATCCACATCTTCGCATGGCAGCAAATCTTAAACTAGCATGGCAACTCTCGACGCATTCAAGTTTCCAGGAACTTCTAGAGGTCTTCCGGCTATGATACGGTACTGATGTAACCTGTAAGATTTTGGAAGTTACCAAACTGCCGGTACCAAATCATTCAGCTTGTGATATTTCTACCAATCATACAATCTTCGCGAGCATGGCATTTGGAGGCATCAATGGTGATTTCGTCTTTTGCAGATGGGATTGGGTATCAGCATGTAGGCACAGTGTTACTTAAGAACACAATCCACAAATATCGAAATAGAGTTACCCCTCGGTGTGACGGATTTCAGAAAATCGTTTCATATTTTCATCATATGTTTGTCATTCATATCTCAGCTCTGTTTAATGGTGCTTGTAGACATCCCCAAAAGAATTTCCCCTGCATGATAACTTATGTGTGGCAAATGCAAGTCGTCCTCTCTCCCACTATGACAGATCAAGTACGACTCTTCCTTGCATTTTACCCTCCGACATCTCCTTGAACACCTCCGTCAAGTTCTCCATCTTCTCCATTCGAATACGAGTCTTAATAATTCCCCGGGCCGCCATCTCAAGTACCTCCAATGCTTCACGTTGGTTACCTACTGCCGAACCCTTGATGTTCCATTCTTGGGCGACTGTTGATATTAGCGCATGTTACAAATGTGATAACGGGTATCTTTACCATGGCTGCAGGGAATGAGTTGGCTATAGGTTGGGAATCGCCTTCTGGCATTCCAACGCAGACCAACGTTCCCCCAAATCTCAAAAAACTAAGCGCTTGAGAATAAGCGCGATTAGAAGCAGTGCACACAATGACAGCAGATGCTCCGATCCCACCAGTGACTCTTTTGACTTCCTCTGCAATCGCTTTATCGTCAAATTTGGTAAGATCTATGAAGACTTCTGCGCCGCATTCTTTCACCAACTCTTCCTTACTTCCATGATCAATTCCAATGATTCTCATTGCCATACCACGACTTCCGATTTGACAAGCCAAGTGGCCCTAGTTAGGTTAGTATGCGACCCGATTAGAGATTCTGGGGAGGAGATTACAAGACCACCGCCCGCACCGGCTATTGTATGTTAGTTTGAAGACTTCATGAAACTCGGAGATGACCGTACCGATAACAACCCATTGACCACTCTTAGCATCACTCTTTCTCAAGGCTGAATATCTAAACTCAAAAGTTTCTGTGAGCTTCGCCTACTTGAGGGGTGACCGGCCCCTGAGGCGGCCCGGCCGCCTAAGCGACCGAATTGAGGCTGTGAAAACTCACGTCGTGACTCCAGCACATAGTAGAGGAGCAGCGTCCTTAGAATCCAGAGCATCTGGAATTGGTGTTACATAGTTCGCTGGCGCGAGCGCATATTGTTGAAATGTCCCCGGGTCTGTTTTCTTGAATTAGAAATGACACCCACTTGGAAAGCCTTGATTCACGAACAATAATAGCCAGAGATTTTTTGATTCTACACAACGAAAGATTTAGTTTTGAACTCTAAGGCGGATTCAGAATTTGGGGATACTTACGAAGCAAACTCCATCTTTACCCTCGAGACATGGAAGACAAGAACCACAAGCATAGGCGATCCACTTTGAAGATTCTCAATTAATCATGGCCCCCTTGGTTCTCGAGATGAACTCACTTTAATTCCAACACGATCACCAACCTTCACTCGACCATTCTCTGAGCCTGGGCCTAGTTTGTGGACGACTCCAACACCTTCGTGGCCGCCAACTTGCCCAGCTTGCGTCGGATAAGGAACTTTCAAGGCATTAGAACATCATCGTATACTTAACTGATGTGGTAAGCTTACGACCGCGCCAACTATTCTCACAGATTCCCATATCACTGTGGCAAACACCACTATGGGTACTACACAAGACAGCATAATCAGCGAAATCACATCGACAAAAACGGCGCAGTGTGAGCTCACAGTCTCACAAGTACATCGCCGGGTCCGGGCTCAGGTGTATTTAACTGCTCGATTTTTGTGGAAATAGTTCCCGGCTTGTCGTAAACAATAGCTTTATATTGTTTGGGAATATCAAAGGATTGGGTTGTTGTTGCTGCTGCCATTTCTGCGATTTATTCCTTGGCGAGGTGGAACACGTTTTGATTTCCCACGAGTTCTTTTCAGTTCAAGGAAAGAAAAGAATTTGAGAAGAGAATGTATGTATGTACGTATAGACAGGTGGATGTGTTAATATGGAAAAGAATGGAAATTGTAGAGACTCGAATCACTTTAAATAACAGGTGAAAGAGCGGGGTTACACTACAGATAAACTTAGCTATACCGGACTGGGATATACCGGAAACTTGGATATACCGGACTTTTTTTTCATTTTTTCCTAAATTTATATAGGAATATCGGAATTTCAACGAAAACCGATATACCGAATACTTTTTTCACAAATCCAATATAAATTTTGATAATAGATTTAACTGAATAAGCTTTTTTTAAATAAATAAACTCAATTAGCTATCATCACATAATATTTTTTCAAAAATATCAAAGTTTGAAACTGAAATCGGATATAAATTTTAAATAAAAAAGCTTGAACCACCATTTTTTATACCAAAATCTTAGATATACCGGATTTGATTGGTCGAAAATTTCAGTCCGGTATAACCAAGTTTATCTATATCTATCACTACACCACCACCTTTCCACCATTTTACTTACGAGGACTTTAAAGCCGATATGCAACGCCGAGGTTTAGCATACTTGCATTGCATACATGCGAGTGTGGTTCAGTGAATGTGGTAGAGACTATTTGGATGACAGTCAATAGCACCAAATATATGTTGGTTGGTTCCTTCCGAGCGGGGATTAGTTCTTTGATAGATGCGGGGTCTGTCGCAACTCGGGGTAAAGCCATGCAGCCATGCAGCCACTCAGAAGCTTTGGATCTTTTGTGCGGAGAATTGAAAAGTTGATGATTGAATGTCAATGGATGAAGAGATCATTTGTAATACGTTTCCTCGAATATGATTGCTCTGCTTGGCCCTTGTGGTTCCTTGTATGATTGTATCCCGATGTTGATGCCACAAAATGACAAGTCAACAATAGTCATGTTCGACGCCTTTAAAGTACACCTGCATGTGTGTATATATGAAGTGACATGCAAAGTTATGCATGATGATTCCATTGTGGCAGTTCGCACCTCTGAGGTGGATCGTAATTTATAAAGCCCCTCTTTCTCTTGTTGCTGTCTGTGGCACTGTGCCTTCTCCATGCCAATGTTATCTATCTGGTATCGTATCTAAGCGTGATATGACCGTGCGTGCCAAGTGATGATAGATAGGTACTTGGATTCAATATCCTAGGTAAGATCTTACATCTTCCTACCTTTTACCAATCTCATGTGAAAACCGTTTCCATATACATCTCAGTATAAAACAAAAACTTCATATTCGGATGTTTGAATGGATTTTACAATGTTCTCGTCGTCTTAACTCCCCGGGCTACTTCATCACACCCGGGTTTCAGTATAAACAATGCAAAGTGTTTGCCATGACGTAGGTACCACGTATCTGAACACCAAATGCAATGGTTTCTACCACTTCGGAACGAAATACGTCAGGTAAATAGGTCACTGGACTGGTATTATTTGTCAAGACTCTCCGCATATTTCACCGAAGAAACCGGTGCAAAATAGAGCGAGTATAAGAACCATCATAGGAATAAAATCAATGAGTCATTTCTACCTCTTGCCATTTTCAATTGTACAGTATCATTTCGTGTAATAAGTATCATTTTTCTTTCTTCCCCTCCAACGAAACGCTACCTTCAAAATGTCCCCAAATATGCAGAAACAACATCCTCAATCCCTTCATGGAGAAAGCCACGAAAGAAAATTCGGTGCTTTTCAGAATGAAATCTATAGAGGTATGATATCCTATGCAATGTCCCCTTCATTTCAAAGCAAGACCAAGCAGCTAACTTAACTTCCTTCAGATGGCATGTTTGCTAATACTTTCCCAACTGTGACCACCGATCCCAACAAACTCGAGGAACAAGCACGCTCTAAGCTTGCATCCACATCATACAACTATGTAGCAGGAGGAGCCGGTGAAAGAGCCACTATGGATGCCAACAGACTCGCATTTAGACAATGGAAGATGGTACCTCGAATGTTGCGTCCCACTACCAAGCGAGATCTCCGTGTCAATCTCTTTGGCCAGGAATATGATAGTCCCATCCTGATGGCTCCAGTTGGTGTTCAACAGATCTTCCATGAAGACAAGGAGACTGGTCTCTCGGAAGTTTGTGCGGAGATTGGTGTACCTTATATTCTGAGCACTGCTTCGTCTTCATCCAGTGAGAACATGAATCCTATACCTTGATCAGGAGTCACGACTAATATTCCGCTTTTCCTAGTCGAAGAAGTAGCCGAATCTAACGGCCCCGATGGCCACCGCTGGTATCAACTTTACTGGCCTCAAGATGACGAAATCACCCTCTCCCTCCTCAAACGCGCGAAAGACTCCGGCTACAAAGTCCTCGTCGTAACCCTCGACACTTGGGCTTTAGCCTGGAGACCCGCTGATCTTGATGGAGGTTATGTCCCTTTTATGAAAGGTGTCGGTGACAAAACTGGATTCACTGACCCTGTCTTCCGCCGAAAGTTCAATGAAAAATACAACGCCACTCCAGAGGAGAAGCTTTTTGAGGCTTCCCAAGAATGGGTTGGTGATGTCTTCTCCGGTGCTGCTCATACCTGGGATCAAATCAAACTCTTGAAAGATAATTGGGATGGTCCCATTGTTCTAAAAGGCATCCAACATCCAGATGACGCATTGGAAGCTGTCAAAGCCGGTGTCGACGGCATCATTGTTAGCAACCACGGCGGTCGTCAACTCGACGGTGCTGTTGGCTCTCTAGAAATGCTACCTGAGATTGTCGATGCTGTTGGTGACGAATTGACAGTTTTGTTTGACAGTGGCATCCGCACTGGTGTGGATGTTATTAAAGCCCTCAGTCTAGGTGCCAAGGCTGTTCTAATAGGAAGACCTGCTATCTATGGATTGGCAATAGGTGGAAAACAGGGAGCCAAACAGGTCTTGCAAGGGATTTTGGCGGATGTGGATCAAAGTATGGGATTGGCGGGTATCCAAGATATCAAGGGATGCAATCGTTCGATGATTAGAAGGGTGCAGTATGGAGGGGATGTTAAGGCCAATAATTGATTACTGGGTGTAGAAGAGATTTAATAGAAAACAAATAGAGTCATAAAATTTAAATTTAATAGTGTGTAGGTAATAAAAGCTGGGTGATTTGTTCTCAACAATTTCGTAGTTCTATCCGGACTGTAGTCCTTTTAAGATTCTAGTTTTGAGATTCCGGGAATGTTGATGATTATTTTATGAATTAATTGTTTGAAACTAATTCAATAATTGAAATTATTTCAATGTCTAAAATACTTTCAACATTTAGAAATAATTGAATATTCAAAGGGTTTTGATTGTTGGACTGCAATCTGGACTATCGGACACTCTGAATTACTGTTCTACCTCGCTTGCCGCACGATGTCCTCAAATACCCCCTCCATCACAACACAACCCAAACCACAAAAGACACTCCGCAAATCAACCAGCTCCTTGCCATCCCTCCTTCCAAACCCGATTCCCTCCCAATCCGCATCGCCCCACCGGTGAAAGTTCCATCAATGCCAGAAGTTGTCGCGCTGGCATTAAGCCCCTCGGAAATAGATTGCGATGGAAGAGCCGATGATGTCGGCTCATTAGCATTATTCACAGCAGTAGCGCTACTAGTCTCCACTACGACCGAAGACAAGACTCGCGTCGAAGCATCCCAAGCTAGAACACTAGAAGCCCCACCCGTGTTCGTCATGGCAAAGGGCATCGCAGACGCTACTGCAGTCCCTAGACTCAAAACCACGGCGGTGGATTCAGGGTGCACATTAGTTCCCGTGTCAGCATCGACATCTGATCCCGAGTCCAAAAATGAGTCTGGGTCTTCGTCTTCGTCTTCGTCTTCGTCTTCGTCTGCATCTGCATCTGCATCTTCGTCGGCGAGGGGACCCGAGTTCAATGTATTCATTAGCATGGACATGGGTGGACTGGAGTCACCGTCCGAATCATCTGATTCGGTTTCGAGGTCAGAATCAGTCGATTCATCATCCGACTTCATTTCCGTGCTTGATTGCGATTCTGATTGTGATTGAGAAGCCGATGAGGAGGATGAGACGGATGTCAAACCGGACTCTGCGTCTTCGGAATCGAAATCAGAATTGGGGTCGAGTGTGAAACCACCGGGGTCGCTGATGCCGAGACGGAGCATACAGACTTGTTCGTTTTCGTCCTGGCGTGGAGTATGGTATTAGCATTGATCTTTGGGGGGCGTTGGAGATTTGATAAATGTCATACCTTGTGACAGCAATAACCCTCAATCGACGCGCATACATCTCCTATACCACAGTATCCATAATCTTGCATGCAACACGGACTATTTATGTCATAAAGTTTATTAGTATAGACTTTCACATGCTCGCATCTCGTTGTCTTTCTTCAAAGTTGAAGTCCAAGCACCTTCCCAATCTGAATTTCAAAGTTCGAAACTATTATGAACAATTGAAAGGGTACTCTAGAAAGACTACTACTCTTTAGAAGTCTTCAGAGTCCAGGTTCTTATGAAATAACAAAGGACTGCCGGAAGGTGGTGAATGACAAGTGCGTGAAGGAATTTTTCAAGGGACACCAAAATCATCTTCTAGCACAGTATGTACACGGAAAGAAAAGACAGCTCACCTCCCCAATCGTGGGATCATAGCAATATTTGCTATCGCTGCCGCCACATGGAACCGAACCTTCTCCATATGTTTGCTCACAGGAGAGAAAGTCTCTCTTATTAGGGTGTAAAGCTTTGTTATGATGGAGCGCGTGGACTTCTGTAGAATGGGATGTGAAATGGGATTTTGCGTTTGTAGAATGGGCTATACAGAGGTATAGGACCGGCCAGATGATGGGATTTGGTGACTTCATTTAAACGGAAATTTGTTGACGATGAGATATGGAAATGGAGAGTGTAGATGTTCTGAATCGCAATGAAGAATGAATGTGTTTATATGATGAGGGCTGGGAGATCGACAGTGTTTCATCCATGGCTTGAGGAAGGTATGCAATGCAATATAATGAATTTTTGATCTATCGAAAAGTTTCCCTTGATGACGCTCATTGTGATCAAATTATGCTTTGTGATCAATTATCGCTACCCCTGAGGCTGAGAAATTGCGGAAAGGGATGCCATAGAATAAGTAATAATCTCTGCCCCTCACCTGAAGCCTATTATTGCCTATTACCTAGGGGTTTTAACCTCACGTGCAACTATATGCTTCATCGATATCTTGCAATTATACGGCGGTTGCTTTCCCGAAATGCAGTAAGCTTCCATTCCCAGCTTTCAATAAACCAGCGGTGCAACCTCGCTCCCCCATATCTCTCAATCTGGTCAGCCACATTCAAACCATCGGAGATAGCAAGCTCAGCACCAGTGGTTTCGACTATGGGCATGGTTATTATAGCATCGCCTAATTTCATTATCTTTTCATCGCCGATCCACAATTTGATTAGTTCTGGTTGATCCACCTGGTAAGTTCTCAACAGCCAATGTAAGATTCTGTTTTCTTTCATCGTTTCGGGATTGAAAATCTCGTTATAAGGACCAGGTAGATCATTCTTTAGTCGGAAGGTTTTGATTTCGTCGAGAAACTTTTCGATCAAGACAGGGGATGCTGCTTCGTAAGTTGGTCGCGTCGGTTTCCAGAGCTCGTCTTCGGTGCCTACTAAACTATCTAAGCGAGGCCGTGAATAGATGTAAGTTAAGCTCACTTCGCCGCTTTGCGCATCGGTGTGGTTGATTATGAGATCCAAATTGGTTCTGTCGAATTTCTTCTGGATCTGCGCTGTATTGCCAGGAAACCAATCTCGAAACTTATGATCCCACAAAGTCTTTGACAAGATGACAGTGCCTCGGAATACTACAATGGGACTGATTTGTCTACAACTACCTGGACACTGGAGCGGAGAATGAACGCCCATGCAGTCGAACGTGATATTCCCTTCCAATGCATCGACATGCGGGGGGAAAATTAAACGAGGCGACCCGCTTGATCCAACCTTAATCTCACAATTCCATTCAATCTCATCCTTGAATCGTGACCTCAAAAGACGTTCTAGCATACCGCGGTGAACTCTCACTTTAGTATTGGTCGTTCTCTGAGGAAAGGGTCTGGTGCTAGGCACTAAAAGGCGATCTTGAAATATTTTTTCGCCAATGTTCAGCAGTTTCCTTAGGTCTTTGACAATCCACACTGGCAACAAAATACTATAATCATGTCGATTGGAGTTCTCTTCAGGTTGACTATCTTTTGTGAAGATCTTGAAGGGAATTTTCTTCTCGTAAAGACTGCGTGCAAGTGTCAAAGCTGATAACCCACTCCCGAGTATTCTGACGGGCGATCGAACCAAGGGAGCGTGAGCAGGAGTAGGCGGACAAGATTTCAAGAAGCTTTCCATCGACATACTTCGGACGTGGTGGCTAGTCGAGAGCCCTTTTTTGCTGCTTGGCCGGCCCATGGTAATTTTGCAATCTCAATGAATAAAACTGTCAATAAAAGCTCGATTTTGAACGTTTTTGGTGGTAAGAAATGCTGCCTTAACGGGCGAAGAATGAAGAATGATGGATGAGATGATGCACAGCGGAAGCATATGAAAATATGCAACATGTTGAGGAGACGATGACCGAGTCGATCTTTACTTCCTCACCGGAAGTGATACTGAGCGAGAAAGAACAACCTACAATGTTTTAGAGCTTGTGAGAAAATCATCTTGCCGAAGTTTTGATGGAAAGTTTGTGGATAGCGTAGGTTCTCTTTACTAGGCCACATCAAATGGTTATATGCTGGATTGTATGTTTCAGAGCCTAGCCCTGGAGGTACCTAGCGTTAAAATCATCGTGCCGAGGTTTTGACGGAAAAGTTTGGGTGTGGCGTAAGCTAGATGTTAACTGTACTAGATCAAATCATATATGATAAAGTATGAAAGTATGAGAATGATTGTGTGGGTTGATTCTGAATATTGTTAACATGAATTAGAACTTTAAGGTAAATTGGGATATTGATATGATTTGAGATATCAAAATGAGTCTGGATATTGATATGAGTTAGAATTAGAATAATGATATCAATCGAAACGATTATATCAATCGAAATAACTACAATGCTCTAAAATAAAGTGAAGAATACCAAGGGATTTCATTCCCTCTCCACGTCTGCCCTCCCACTCCCAGATACAAGAGCCTTCAAACAGCATACCTATACAACGCGCACTCCAATCCCACGCCCCAAAAGCAGTCCCAAGTCATCCGATCATCCAGACTGCAAGTCAGGTCTTATGATATCTCCCAAGTTCCAATTCGAGTTCAACAATCAAATGCTCTGGATGTTCCAGTCCAGACCGGACAATCTGGAAGTTCCGTGAAGGCAGCGCATATACAACACAGGTATGTACATTGTGGTGCCTGGCTTCTCATCCGGTGTCAGTCTTCTCGATTGCGCAACTTTGCGTCGTAGAAGCTACAAACGACGAATATGCCGGAGCCATGGAAGGAAGGAACGATCAGAGAAAGCATCACTGGCTCCTTCATGATTTATAAACTATTTAGCAGCCATCACTAGGGTATATAGGACAAGTTCAAATTGAGAAAGAATATACTATTCAAGTAATTTCTATAAAAAATCGCTAAACCGATAGCCTGGTATCATGCAACACGTAATCCTACATCGTGCAATGCATGCTTCCTATTGTCCTTTAATCTCCATCAAGATTGTGAGTTGTCCCATAAAGCCCAAAACTCCATTTCCAACACCGGGGCAATGCTTTTACGCCAAAAATCCCGCTCCCCAGAGGTATTAATATGAACAAAAGAATAGTTTAATTGCATGCGTGAAAGAGGAGACAAGTGCTCTACTTTTTCACCATTCCACACCTCTCCAATTGAAGTTTCCATCCACATTTACGAATCCCCCTTGATCAATCGCCTTCTCCCATCCCATCATCACGGCAAGAAGCCTGCAGCCCGTGGCACTGACTGTACAGACAATCTTGTCACTTGCTTTTCCCAACACCGCCAAATCCATCAAATAAGCTCTTCCGACCAATTCTCTCAATCGTAAAGCTTCTGTTGTAGGAGGTAATGTTGTATCCGGGATTTCGACAGCAGTTTTCGGAGTTCCCGAAGGTTTGCCTAAACTCCAGAACATGCCAGCATAGAATCCTCCTTCCCATCCTACTGTATCATCTACGAATTTTCTTGGCCCTGGAGTGTTAGGTTTAGGCGCGGCTGCATCAAGAGCATTCTTGGATGCTAGTCGAATCTGCTCCTGCGCTCTACTGACTTCTTTGAATTCTTCGGAATCATAGACATCAGGATCATCAGAGGCAATGACCAATGCACTAGCCATTTTAGCCAGGGTGTCGTGCTCCCCATTCGGAAGTGAGTGATTGAACTTCTCGTTTATCAACATGTGTGCTTTGTCGCTATACACTGTTAATGGAATATAGCTGTCTTTGTACTGGAATTCGTATGGTCTCCTGTCCCCATGACGAACATGTATACCAATGATCATCCCACTTTCCTGATTTGATGGATCTAGTGTGGACTTCGCCGAGAATTCTCCGGCTCTGCTGTCCACGTATTTACTGTCATCGTCGGATAGGTGGAAAAGGGCTTCGTACCCAAGTCGAGCCATTTCAAAGATAGGCTTTTGTCGGTAGACTTCCATCTTTTTCGCGTCTTCAAAATATTCGTTGAAAGATCCTCCCAAGATATGAGTTGCGGTCGCAGCCGAGACTACTAGATGGCGAGCATGATGCGGGCATGGGAGCATTTCGTGGCGCGGTGGGGGTCTGCATTTGGGGGTCGGAGGTGGCTTGAAGAATGTTGTATATTTGCCGTATGCCCTTGTTGCTGTCAGTAACGAGGAGAGAAATGAAGCTTAGTTTCTCAAGCTTACCATCTTGAGTCATCTACGAAGAAATGCCTTCCCTCCTTTTGAGCCAAACCGAACGCAGTCCACAGCATCATCAAGCCCTTTCCGAGTCCCGCATCTGATGTTTCGAGCACAAAAGTCAGAGTCTTTTCACAGATATCTGAATCAATTAAGCCGTCCTTATTTTCGCCCACCAATGAACCATCTTTTTCCCTCAATACATTGTTCTTCGCCTTGATTCCGGGCAAAAGTCCATGTGCCTCTGCCTCAGCAACGTCCATGAAATTTGGGTCCACGTGGTAGTAATCATAATGTGCAAAGTGCTCTCGGTGCACGTGGCTATGAAGATCTGCAACAGTGGCAGCGACTTCCATATTTTGCGCACATATATCGGCATATTGCAGGGGAGCGAGAGGAAATTCGTGATTGGGAGGTATGGAAACCGTCCATTTCGATCGTCCGCGTTTGTCTGTTACGATAACTGGTGTTGGAAAGTCTGGCAATTCTGATTCTCCAACCATCTCATACTGATTACCAGAATCTGTTGCCCACCCTACTGCCGTCATGGGCCTTTCTAGCCATGTCGAGGTGAAACCAAAGTAAAGTAACCCCAATATGCCAGATACCCATAAAAACCCTCTGAACCACTTTCGGGGAGTCCGTGATGGCGCTGGCTTGCCGTGCCTTGGAACTAAAGCCGGAAGACTTGGGGAAGGCGGAGGCGATTTGATCAAATGGTTGAAGCTAAATCTGGAAGAAGTAGATGACGATGGTCCTCGGTCATTTGGATCATACCCTCCAGATTTACGCAAACTGAGCCGAGGAGAAGTTCGTGATGAGAGAAGCATATCTGAGTGCGTGTATGACTTTTTCACGTCAAGAGGAGGGGGAACCATGAGGTAAAATGACTGGCACAGCCAGGAAGAAACGAAAAAGAATGCAGTTGCGAAAGTTGCTTAGAAAAGGAGCGTTGTAGTGCTGTTAGAGAAGCTCTCAGATGTGCCTGCACTTGAAAAGTGAATATTGAGTAGGTGACATGTAGAAATTTACAACTTCCGAGGTAAGTGAATGAAGTGACTAATAAGGAGACAAGTGAGGAAGTGAAGGCTCTTTAGAGGTAAACCCTTCGACGGATATGAACCGAAACAAGAAGGTTTGCTTTCCAGAATCGGAAGATTTTAATATATTTGAGATATGTCAAAAGATATAGTACTTCTGAAGTGTATGGATATTGTTTCTTGGCAACAGTAAAATGTGGAGTAGATGCGGAAGCGCGTAAAGACGAAACGAAGAATATTGCCGGAATATGTAGAAGCGCATAGAGTTGGAGTTGACCCAAGAGGTGGACACCGGTGACGTCTAAGGTGGAATCTTTCGTACCCTTTGGTGAATCAATGAGGTGATGTACCAAAGTCAAAATGCATGATCTACATGCCACATTTTACTTTTAAGACAGGAGAAAGAAAATCCAAGACCATTCACTGGATGAACAGAAGATGAGATTGAGGCGAAGAATAGATGTGATTAAGATGAAAGAAAGAAAACCAGGATGATATCCATGACCCGAGAAAAGATCTGATACAGTGATACCGGAAAAGAAGGAGATCAACTTGAGACAGAGATGTGATATTTTTGCATGGTAAGGCCCTTGTATGCGGTCATCAATTTCTGTGCATATATGAACGATTATTGGTTGAAGCTAGATTCTCGCGTGGGGCTGACGGAGGGAACTAGGGGTCAAATCTTATGGAATGGAACGTGGGGCCAAAAAGGGATTTAAGCACACCATGTACATGTTACAGGTAAGCGGGAAAGATAATGTTAAAAGGAAAGAAAGAAGAGATGGACTTGTTGAATCTAAACTCGAAAGCTTTTCTGGCTTTTCTTCTTCCAGATAGCGATCATCCTTAGCTAAATATCAGATGTTTCCCTTACACCAAGAATTCAGAAGGGCTTTGGATGATTTTCCCCTTACAACAGAAGAATACCAAGAGCAAGCAAAGCAACGCCTACACCTCGTTGAACCCTGGAAACCAACAAGCTGGTTAGCTACTCCGCAGTTCAGTAACAGTACGGAGCTTGAGGGAAATACCGCCACCGGTAGGCTGTAGACAGGATCTTGTAACCATAAGCATTGATATTATCCAACCTTAAGACCTTGTTTTCATGCCTATCACTAACATGAGAATACCCGACCTCACGTCGATTTCACTTGATTAGCTAGCTGGTGGAACCGGATATGCACATTGCACATAGCATAAATGTCATATCTCTTAACCTTTGTTACTCTTCTCGTTCCTTCCTCTTTCTTAAATTCTCCACCCATCATGAAGGGTGGTTCTAACTCGCCTAATAGGATTGTTGGCTTCCCTCACGTCTCGTTCTTGTTCAACCGCGAACTCGATAAAGTGCATTGCATTGACCCCTGAACATCCGAAACGTGCTAATGAAAATGTCCGACTGTTCGTTACAACCAATCACGCACCAGAACATCAAGATCAAGCAAGCCCAAACAAAAGCAAAATTCTACAACATCCAATCTGCATGTGATTTCACGAATTGTCTTTTCTCTTAAGCTTTCTTGGTGGAAGGACGACGAGATTCACGTCCGTGAATTAAGGTTTTTATCGCGGAGAAAACAATCGTTGAAACATTTCCCCCTCTATCAAGTAAGTATTATGATGCCACCTCCTCCTTGGTCTGCTAGACAGATTTCCAGTCGCCCGTCTCGAGTTGAGCACATTCTCGCACAGCACTCACAGCAGAAAAAACACCACCATCTACATCCACTCATATATCGCAAATCGTGTTTAACATATATTCCTCGTACCCCGTACTACTTCTCGGCAATTCCCAGGAAATGTACCGTGTGGTCGAAAAATCGGCTTTGTACGTCTCATGCATAAGCCACTTGTGCGTAAAGCATGAGGACCCTACCTAGGCTCCTAGGTAGGTAAGCATCTTTGTGCCATCCTTGGTTATAACAAGTGGCGGATTTCCCGTTGTCTTACAGTTCTATCCAACCAACCTTCCTTCCATTTCTCACTCGACAGAGTTTGAACGACGGAAGCCTTGAAGAAATGTCACAGGAAGGATCACCGACATCCTTCTGTTGGAGGATTTCATTACTCTTCCTTGATCATCCGATTCTCCCATTCCGGGAACACTACCAACAAGACATGCTGGATATGGAACAATCTGAAAATAGATTCGCGCGATTATTCATCAACAATCGTCGCAATTGATATGCGAAAGGGATTGACATTTCTTGGAAATGTTTCTCTTCGAAATGTTCCTTTTGTCAGGAGATGATAGTCACTCTGTGCTGTGCCGGATTTTGTCCCGAGAAAGTAGCTCAGCAGAATGTAACACAAAAATTTGACTCTCCATTTGCCTGTTTCATTGGAGGTCAGGATGTAAATACAGATTAAGTAATCGAGATGACTTTCTTTAAAATAAATTTGTTTTATTAAAAGATTTGAAAGATTTGAAAATTCAATAGTAAATATGAAATTAAAAAATAATTTTGAATTAAAAAAATCTACATAAAATATTATAAATTCTTTATTGATTATTATATTATTTATTAAATAAATTATTATTAATTAATATTAAATAATTCCATTTATATCTATAATATAATTTTAGAAAAAGCTATCTGATATAAATATAAAACTATATAATACTAAGAGTAAACTATATTAAAAAATCAAAAAGTAGTATTTAGATTCAAAAAACGTTTCGGGTTACAAAATCCACCGTATAAAGTACTATATAATGTGTTATCCAATATATTTTATCGACTTATCAACATCGACATCAAGTGACAGCATGTACCATTCCTCTCCATTCCCATTCCTCAGATCATACCTCGTCAAAGGTCATCGCCGCACCCCCCCTCCCCCCGGCACTGGGTATACAGAACAAGCTGAGCAGTCGCACACAAAGATGATGCAAGCAAACCACAGCTTCAGCTATATCCAGACCAGAATTCCCAATTCCAACCAATTACTCGTGGCGGTGCCATCCATAGGTAGGTAGGTAGGTAGGAACACAAACATGCTTGCTTTCAACGGCGCAACGTGAGATTCCATCAGCTTTCCACGTACAGTTGCACTGTGAGGCTGAAGCCGAAGCTGACATGGTAGCACAAGTATCGCAAGGTAAAGCACGCCCGGTGGGTAATCCTCATGATCATCATTGTCATCACCAAGTATGAAACATTAGGTATTAGGCATTCCTCCAAACCTGTCCAAAGCCGTAACGTGCCTCGTCGAAAAGAAACGAAGCAACTTTTTCTCACTATGCCATGCCCGGCTGGTGGCTACCGCGCCGCGCTCTAACTTTGTTTCCCGTTTGTATTGATACGAAAACAAAGAGCTACTACATGTAATCACGTTTCACTTGCCTGTGCTCGCATTTAAATTCAAATGGTCATCTAAAATTCTGATATGTCAAATAATATTTTGACTCCATCAATTCATCAAATCGCGACTCATCTAACTTTAACTTGATATCTTTCTGCTCTGGCAACCGCACGCTAAACTCAACAATCTCACCCATAACTAACATCTCATCTCAATTCTTTCTACGTAACAATTCCCATCATCGCTGTATCGACATGCTGTATTTGTATCAGTTTGTATCCTTCCTGGTATCAATCCACAAATCCATCTTCAAGATTTGATTATTTCCCAAATGTGCATTTAGTCCCGGCACAAAAGTAAACGAAACCAAGTAGTAAAAGAAAGTCCTCCGTAGCGATCCAGAAGTATGATTTTTCCTGAGTTCGCCCATCCAGCCAGGCCCCAAGTCTACCCTGGTCATATTATTACATTAAGACAGATAAATGCCACTATCCGTCCCACCAACCACCCAACGAAATGATTCCCAAAAATGCCAGCCCGCTCAAGTGCCCCATCACTAATTGCCACATAAAAAAGGAGCATGCTGTGATAAGCAAAAAGTCCCGGGAAATAAAATGAAAGCTAAGTAAACGTGGGTATAGACAACAAATAAACCTCCCAGTAACGCCATAAACCATACCCATATTGATTACAGATTTTCCCCCTCACTGTTTTTGAAAAAATCAGTTACTACAACACCAGAATCATGCAGCTGAGCCTTGGAACTCAGATGTGGACTCTTGAGAGGTTCAATTCCAGGAATTGGATCCGTTGACACCGCTCGTTTGCGCTCGCCTGCACGCATACTTCCTCTAGCCTCTTTGTTTGATTGTCCATTTTCAAGTCGATCTTGTATCATCTCATCAAGCATTTTGCTCATCTCATCTACACTCTTTGAATTTTTGAGGGGCGTTGGGGGAAGGACGGTGGGTGGGAGAACCTTCCCCGCGCCTCCGGCACTTATCAGACCAGTGTCGAACAATTGAGATTCCCTAGCCGAGACGGGACTCAGTGGCATTCCTTGGCCTAGACTATGGCGAGGATCACGTTCGGCAGTGTCTCGAGACCGAGCAGAACTGCGAAGAGCTGATAACATGCGATCCTTATCGTCGAGTCTCGCTCGTAAGTCCGCAATTTCAGCATCCTTGTCTCTCAATAGATTGGAGATCCCATGGTCTTCTCCCACCATTATATTTGACTTGCTACCGAATTGCACAGACGTCCTTGACTGACTAGAGCGCCGAGCTTGTAGGAGTCGCTTTTCTAAGGTCTGACAATATCGGGTCTTATCTGCAAGGTCGGCTTGTAAGGCTCGGTTCTGCGCTGCCAATGAAGCATTGCCATTTCCATACTCGCCCCCAGAGTCTTCATCCTCCATCGATGTATGATCGCCCGAGATGGTACCGGATAATCGTTGCGCACTGGGTCGTCGGCCAATGGTAGAGACCGAATTGGCGCGATCTAATGTGATGGTGGATGGTGTCATAGATGAGCGCGCTGATACTGAAGACATATGACCACTTGACGCTCCCATCGATAGCCTAGGTCGCATACTCAAAGCTGAATAGGTACCGTTGGTATTGACACCTGTGGACTTGGAGCTGAGGATCAGTCTATTTAGATGATCGATTCTCTCTTTAAGAGCGGTTCGAGCCAACTGCATCTCTATCAATTGCTCGTTATGACGAGCTTTTGCTTCTTCCTTTTGGGCTTGTTCCTCCTCGTTGAATTTGGCTTTGGTCTGGCCATCCAACTGTTTCTTTAGATCCACGATTTCCATACGGTATCGTTCTAATAAAGCCCTAGTCTGACCATCACCACCTCCATTCGACGCATCCTCCGCCTTTTTGGCATGACTGACAATATTTGCTGCAGCTCTGGAAGCAAATTTCAAGGTGTTCAAAGTCTCGCTAGTATGGCTGTTGGGTCCGGCAGCACTTGCTCCAGATCCAACAGATATTGTGCACAGAATGCTGACAAGCGAACCTCCCGAAAGCGCACCTTGAAGAAGTCTTGTAAGCTTGCTGTCGCGATATGGCAAATGCTTCCCGTCCTTGTCCATTGGTTTGCCATCCTTGTCTTTGTTCCCCGACAGTCGAGCAATGACAGTTCCAAGGGTCAACAAACTTTTATTGATATGGGAACCTTCAGTACGTCGTTCTTTCGTTTCGGCGGCTCTCTCTGATCCCGCCAAATCGATCAGACTGAGAGTAGAAACACGAACGCCACCAGGACTCATTCCTCCCCGTTTATTTTCTTGCATGGCTGCTCCCCCAGGGACCCGCTCGCGAGATTCAACCACTATCTGTACGACGGCATGACTACGAGAACTCCTAGCATTAAATTGTGTACTGGAAGTCTTTCGTGCTTGATCACCCCGGAAGATAACACGAATTAACTGCGTTGGAGATTGCACTATTTCTTCTTTAAGTGGTGTGGCATATACGCCTCTCTTGCTATCTTCTCGGAGCTTGATTTCTTCGGTTTGAACAGCTCCTGGGCCCGTTGCAGGACCTGTGGAAGCACTCAAAAGGTCATGAATCTTCTCGTTGTATATCTCCAAGTAACTGACTCTGAGTAGAAATTCTCGCGATGGAGTTTCACGGATGTATGAAAAAATGTCGGTAATGGCGAGAGGAATAACACCAGGCATCTTATCTGTTCCTTGCATGGAAAACGTCTTTCCGGTACCTGTCATGCCATATGCAAAAACTGTGCCGTGGTACCCTTCCATTACTCGCCGTACGAGCCTTTTGGCAGATGCATCATACACTTTAGCGTTATTGTCCTGCTGCGAAAAAACGTTGTCTGCTACTGTATTAGCAACTTCAGCTTGAAAAAATTGTCAAACATAGCTTTACCATAGTAATAATCGCCGCCTTCCTTCCCGCGGTAAGCCACCAGTGATTTCCTTCCATCTACTACCCATTCTCCGTCACTCCTGCTAGTTTCTCCATGACTATTCGCATCCGGACGTACACGTACGCTGACAATGACATTTCCTTTGCCTTCTGCAGGCTTCGAGGATCTTTTATCGGCATCATCAAGTCCCTCTCGACCTCTATATCCATCTCCAAGCTCTTCGGTGGTTGTCACAGATGTCGAGTATGAATCCTGGGCCGACGAACTACGGCTTTGAGGAGGCGAGGGTAAGCTTAATAGACCATCCGACCCTCGAGCCCCAGCACCGCTGGATATTGAAATACTGTCCCCGCTTTGTGTACTAGGATTGGCCATCGCCGTTGGTCGCTTTCGAGGTTTCCCGCTACCACTATTCGTCGAATTGATTTCTGATGATTCCCTTTTACTTGGCTCTCCTGTTGACAATGCGGTCCCTGGTGCAACACCACCAGACAAGGGACTAGGGGGTAAACTCGCTGTTCTGACACCCCCTCGAGGAGGCTGAGGAAATGCATTGATACTAATCGTTTTTCTTATACTTTTACCAGCTGCATTGAGTCCTGGAGAAATTGGTGCCTTTGGAAGACCTGGGCTCCTCAATGGCTGAAGGCTAGATGATGACGGAGTCCGTAGTCCACTTCTAGGTGTACTTGGTGCCTCTGATCTGTCTGTGGGCAATGGCGATGCATTCGTGCTCTTTCGAGTCTTTGGCATAGGTAAAGCCGGTAGTGCTGATGTTGGTGGTCCATAAGAAGGCCTCGAGGCCCGTGGTAAGGTCGCTGCCATTGTTACTGACTCTGAAGCTCAATCTGAGTCGTTGTTTGTCACTCGAGTTCCAGATTCGATCTTTCTAGTGCCTTGTAGCTGTAAATTTTACAGTTCCATGAAACTCGTTTGCAAAATTGCGTGAGTTTAGACTTGGTAAATGAGTCTTGCGATTTCAAGCCAATTTGTGAAGTTAACCAGTAACCAACTCACTGCCTTTGCAAGACCTAGACCAATTTACCTATTCGTCCTCTCGAAAGTGGATGAAACCCGATAGTACGCCGTCTGATATGCCTTAGCAAGATTGGGCGTTTGGACCTGCTTGACTTGTCAGTGCACTCTTCCTGACATCAGGGCAGAAAAATAAAAGATCAGATAATCATGAAAATTTATCTCAAAGGGACAAGCTCCAATCCCAGATATGGGGATAACCTTACAAATTAAGATTCCAATGTGAAAACCATGTGTATGTTCCAGATACGAAGATTTATTTTTCGGAAATTCCTCCTCAAGATATGCAAGTTCCCTTTGCTAGTGATGCTGGGTGCCACAGTCGAAAAATGTGCAGAGTAATTATCCGATTACCCCAGGACTAACAGACGTTGACAAGTTATATGTAATATCGTGTTCATGCATTCAACAGACTAGATCGAATCATTGACTTCTGGAAAGTATTTTTTGTGAAGTTGGGCGTCTTTGGATGCAGTGCTTATGACAAAAAGAAGTAGTGTTGTGCAGGTTCTCGACTTCAATTGGTTGGTATTTATAAAAGTATGAACCTCAATCTTCCACCCTTCTCATGCGATTGGCAAATGGATAAGACTGGGAATCAAATCGTAAGAAAGAGATGAAATGAAATCTTCTATTGTTGATCTTCTTTGGTACGAAATCGTATGTTTTAGGTTTGTGAACGGTGAATCGATTATAGATCTCTCGAGTCCCGGCGGTGAATTTGGCGACAAATGAAGGAATAGTCGCAGGTTCGGTGATACAAAGGCAGGAAGCCGTCACTTGGCGAGTTATATGGGAGGACGAGTGAGATTGGTATGGAACATCAATAAGGATCGTGATATCGTCGTTCTTTTCGCAGTCGTGAGAGATGGATAGAATGGCAGAAAAAAGATTCGAAGCTTTCGAATGGTGACGCGAAACCAGACGTGTACAAGAAGTGAGGAGTGGGCGAAAAAAAGTAAGGAAAGCAAGGTAAAGCAAGTACTGGGTACTTTTCTGTAGCGTTTTAGTGTTAAACCCAAGGTTACATGGAGTATGCAGAGCTGCAGCGCGGAAGCTTATTGGAATATGCAACAGAGGGGTGATAAAAGATAGAAGAGCGTTCTGTTCTATGAATGGAGGAAAGCAAAGAGCTTACTTACTGTATAACTCTGTGAGTGCGGATATGTCCTACAACTTTCAAATCAACCATGCACTTCCTCTCTCGGCTCTCGACTCATGGGGTTGGGTGATTGATGGGCGATGGGCGATGGATGATGGGTGATGGGTGAAGGATGATGGGTGATGGGCGATTGTGCTACCAGGTTGCAAGGGGAAGGCAAATGTACCGTTGACCTGAACAGGGTAGATGATTGATTCGTGAAGGGTGGTGAATGAGTGGACTTTTTCGTTACCAGTATCGGGATAGTTGGTGGGTCGAAAAGAGAGAGGGAAAGAGAAAAACAAAAGGGACTACTCGGTACCTTGTAGATTATGAGTTATCTGTCTAGGGACGAGGGGACGAGGGGATCAATATGGTAAAGAACGAAATGCAGAACATACAGAAAGTGGCATGGTAATTTAGGATGTTTAATTCTTGATTTTTTCGCTTTGATTTTTATTTCTCCTATCAATGACAAGAGATGATATAATAGTTACCCTACCATGTATTTACCACCCTCCACCGTCGCCTATCTAACCTGGACCCAGTCCTCGTAGTTGATTCGTACTCGAGTCTCGAGAATGGAAAAAACTTTAAAGCTCGGAACTTTGTCTCTCCTGGGTATTTTTGGGAGGGAATTGTGATATTATTATCTTTCTACGCCGCAAAGATGTCCTTCCTTCTTTCGCTTTTTCCCGTGGGCCTACTAGGTAGGAGGAAGTGTGTGGATAAGTTAACTTCCCTCACCGGGCCTCACGAAGAATCTGGAGGAAGACAATATAAATGGATGATTACTTCGGGAATAGTGTGGAGCATCTTGGGCAATCTCTACTCTCTTGGGAATCTATTGAACCTCCACGGCTATCCTCGCTACCCTAGATATCCTTATCGAAATTGATCAAATTTGGGCAGGAACTACTAGGTAGGCTTGGTGGGTAACTAGAGGCAGGTCGGACAAGACCTTACTTACGCGATAGAGACAAGAGGGATGAAGGGGAAGGAGCTGGGTCGGTAGACTTTGATTGGTCAATGGTATGGCATACTTATCCGGAGACGATAAACCCGGGAGGGAAAAAACGATGGAACGATAGAACGATGTAATGATATAACGATATAACGACATAACGACATAATCGTCCTCTGGTGTGGTAGGATTCATTGTACAGAATCACAATGCAACACCATTCACTGAAGATATATCTACATCCAAGATTTCGAATATCTGGTTCCGTTTGCTTTTATCAATTAGATGATATGATGCTACTTACTACCTAATCAGTGTGCCATTTCCGCATTTCAATTGCTTTTGTCATTTACGAAGAAATATTTCTCAACACACCCATCTATGGAAGATCTCACTTAACCCCAGACCGCATCCTCCAATGAATGACCCAGACAGAGGCGTACTAATAATAAGCCCTTCACTAACCCCAGATAAAGGTGCGTACAATCATACATACACCATGCATGCCGGTACTTTTCTGAAAAGATGTTCATGAATCGATATCACTTGCATGGTGATAGCCTTTGGACCTTTGCACCCACTCGAGCCACTATAAAACCATGTACGTTTTGGTAGCATGGCAGCATGGCAGCTATCAGACATGTATTGTGAAGAAGGAGTTAAGTACCTACGCTATAATATTTGCTTCAAGGCTACTTGCCTCTAATACACTCTCCAAAGCTTCCTCTCCCCCATACCAGCTCTGAAATGGACTGGTTAGACACAGAATGTGAAATACCGTTGATGGTTTCAGCCCCACCCAGCACACTCGACCTAACCTTCATGTCTGTCTATGTGATTGATCTCATATCGATAATAGGTTCACCAAACTCTTGCAAAATTACCCGTGTGAGGGGCAATATTAAAGGAAGCTCAGGGGTCGAAAGAAGCACAGGGGTCACAAATGAGAAAACACCCAATCCGTGCCATACTTACAAGGTAGGAGACGTTTTCGAATCTTTTACATTTCCCTAAGGCTTTGAGTGATCAAAGGAAATGGTTCAAGAGTGGGAAGTGTATTTGATACATATGGGGTAGATGGCGAATACAAACAATACAGTAAGTTGCATTTTGCTATGACACCATGATATAACATACCACAATGGATTTTCATTTAAATGCTTAGATATTTACCTAATCTGAGTCGAAAGTTTTAAACTAAAAGCATTTGATTGTTGAGTTTGAGTTGAAACATTCAAAACTTTCAATTATCAAATTCGAATTAGATCATTGATTATGTGTGAGGTTTACTTGATATCCAACTTATTTCTTGCATCGCATGCTTATTTGCATGCAACAAGCCCTGGACAGGAGAGAAATTGATAACCCCCGAGACCTGAGCACTGTTCATTCAAAACGCTCCGCTGCTGAACATGCAGTAGTGAACTCCACCCATTGGTGATCTCCGCATTTGATATAAATTTTATTCATTATATGGAGCTTACCAAACTTATGCCAGTCTAGACCAGGGAATGTTTCTCCCTGTAGATTTGAAGAATCTAATTCCATCTTGAGTTTCAAACAAAAATGATCGCGAAGGATGAAGATCGACCCACGGTATACCAGATAGACTTCAGATCCTTCATGGAATGTTTATAATGCGCGTACGCCCCTCCCAATGCTCCTGGTATCGAAGACTTCAACTAAGCCTGCGCCAACGCACTCTGCTAATATCCATTCGAACGAGATTCCATAAAACTGCTTCCATTTCCTAGTTTTGCCGGGAAGAACGCCAGAGAATTCCCCTCTATGCCTCTTTGCCGCGCTGGTTCCTTCGTCTGTTTCGATTCCACCATCCCACCGCTGCCGTAGAAGAGATTCGGGTGCTTCACGATACTTCGATTTGGACAGCAAGGACATGAGGTGAGCACGGGCATTGCCCAACAGTTTTAAAAATTGTCCTGTTGCTGGGAGTGAAAAGGTGAAATCACCCTTTCCCGACAATCGAGCACCGCCTCCGCTTCCCCCAGAAGCATGAACAGCCCCTTCACCACCAACGGCAGCTAGAGATCCGGAACCTGCCCTTGAAATACTGTCTAGCGAAGTGAGCGTTCCTTTTGAACCGTCACCTGGCCTCGAGAAATGATCTGTGACTGTATAGTTGGTCGCTGACGAGGTAAGGAACCCAGCATGGATAAATTCGTGGGCGCTTTCTTCCGTGAAATGGGATCTGGGAAACTTCAGCGCGGTAGGGTTTTCACATAGTAGTTTCTTTAAGTCATCTTTTGAAGAAGCTTTGAGATTGCTTCTCTCTATCATGATCTCTAAATCCTTCACCAATATCAAAAGTTCCCCAAGGCTTCCTCTCCCACCAACGACAACTTTTCTTATCGCCCCTCCATGTACTAATTCTACAATCTCTCGTTCAACAGCAGTAGGAGAGTTTAGTAAAGCTTGAACATGTGAGACAGTAACAACATTTGGTAATGAATCCCGGTAGTTGAGGACCTCCGCAATTCGTGTTGAATCCATACCACTCCTCTGCACTGGCATATGGTTCCACATCCTACCCTTGATATATTGAATAGCTTGCGCAACATCCCGCAAGGCGAGATCTGTTGCAAGAGCTTTGACCAAACCTACATCATCGAGCTTATCATCAAAATAGTCCTCCTCCTCCTCTTCATCGTCATCATCACAGTCTGCTTTCGATTTCGATCGTCGTAGAGGCTTTCTTTTGGGCAGGGAAGAGAAGGGGGAGGATGAACTTCGCTTCAATGATGGGGTAGACTTCTTGATTCGACTGGAGAGTACAGCAGAACGATATAGACTCATGGTTGGAAGAGATCAAAATTCCGTACTGCGTGATAATAAAATAAAGTTGAAAGAAAGACAATTGCCACCACCTACTTCAACATAATTACTAGGTAGGTACATAGCCTGTCCTGCCTCCTTACTTATCCTTATCGGTAAGTCTTGCAGCTAGCCTTTATATGCACAGAATAGAAGATAGGTATATAAAGCAAACTTCCAAGTCACTCTCTATAATATTTAAAATAAAATAAATTATTAATTAGATCTTTTATATAATTTGACTTTCAAATCTTTCAAATCTTTCAAATCTTTCAAATCTTTCAAATCTTTCAAATCTTTCAAATCTTTCAAATCTTTCAAATCTTTCAATAAGAATTTATATATCTAAAAAGAAAAGATCAATTTAGTAATTTTTAGATTTATTTTGTTTTATATATCATTGATTTATAATTCAATTAATTACAAGATTTTAATGAAGATTTAAATGATCAAAATCGGCCTCTTTTTTCTCCTACATAGAGACTAGCAATCGAAATCGGAGCATAGCTGACCGATGTCGATGACTAACATCGCATGCTACTGCTACTCCACTGTCCACGTACTCACCATATCAACATTCACTGCTTCTTCTTCATGACTGAATGAGTGAACATTCCCTTGTTTGCCTAACCTGGAACTATATATACCTACCTACCTACCTACCTATCTTTCTATTCACGGGATAACCTAGCATACAAATTCTTCTTCACCTAATTTACTTAAAGCTTACTCATCTTTGAGTTCCTTGTGTAGCACCTCACCAATAATATCTAGCAATACCTATTCAAATACACTTTGATTATCGTGTTGCAAAATGCCTCCAACAATCATTTTGATTAGGCATGCACAAGCACTCCACAGTCAGTCAACAAGACTCAACTACATTACGGTTTCTGGCTAACATTGCACAAGATGTGTCTCATAAGTCATCCTGTAATATAATTTGTGACCTGGGCTGATGTTTTAGGGCACGCAACTATGAGCTACATGACCCGGCGTTGACCGATCTTGGCTTCGGGACACAATGTGACGAATTGGCTCGTCATCTCGAGAATGAGGTTCCACTGGCTCGGGAAATTGATCTCATTGTGGTGAGCCCCATGAGACGGACTTTGCAAACAGCACAGCAAGGCCTGGGCTGGTTGATGAAGGGTGGTGTTCCCGTTATCCTTCGACCTGAATGGCAGGAGAACTCAGACAAGCCATGTGATACAGGAACGCCCATAGAGATTATGGAGAAGGAGTGGCCACAATTTGACTGGTCAGCTGTTGATCCACTGTTTCCAGAAAAATCTGGTCTGTATGAGTTTTCGAAAGATGCTCTGATAAGACGAGGAATTACCGCTAGGAAATGGTTACAGCAACGCCCAGAGAAGGTTATTGCTGTAGTTTCTCATTCGGCGTTTCTTCGGACTTCCGTCAGCTACAGGCAATATGAGAATGCGGACTACCGAATTTTCGATTTTGCTGGTGGCGATAGACAAGAAAAAGCTGAGCTTGTGGAAAGGGAAGTCACCGAATCCAGGGGCGGAGGGTTAGGGAAGAGCCCAAAGGGAGTTTTTGGAATGACCGATGATGATTGTCCTAGTGAGATTGAGAAGGTCATTGGAGAAGCAACAACTGAGGTTCCAAAGTAGCTCGGGTGTGTAAGCTTAAGTCGAAGGAAGTTATGCATTGCTAAGATGATGTTGAAGATCAATCATCCTCCGAACCACCTGATTCATCCAACCTTTGAAAGTATGACTCGCTACTATAATCTTATACCCAAACAAATCTCCTGTCCGAAATATGTCATTCAAGCTACCAGTGCCCCAATTATCCGACCATATCTAAACAAGGAAGTATACCTAGCATTCTTGGAACGTCTCTATCATTTCTTGTGACAATTCTTGTGCTCTGTTAGCAACGTAGATCCGAAGCTGTGACTAGCCGAATTTCTTCTCGTGATCTTTCTTGGCTTCTTTGTATACTCTTTCTACTTCCTCGCCATCTCTCTTCCTAGTATAACATCATTCCAGTCATGAGAAATGCCTTTGAAGGAATTGGTATTTTTCATAGGCTTCGAGTCAGCTACTGTGAACAATTTACACTTCAAGAGTATCTGCGGTGGGGGGTAATAATTTTCTACTCTGTCCCATGCCGCATTGAATAGCTGAGAGTGGAATATCTGATCGTTTTTCTACTGGACTGATAAGACGATATTCTCTATCATGAAAAGATTCTCTCGGGGTCATATAAGAAAGATATAGTAATCATGATTAGCGATCTCGAAAGGATTGAAAAAGGGGGGGTCTAATATTTCATTATTTTACTAATAATGGAAACCAAATCAAGGCCCCTCATTCAATTATCGCACAAGATAGTATCTCTTCTCATTATATGTATCTCTCCGTTCATTCGAAGTAAAATCAGATTCCTTGTTATGTTATATCTGTATTCCGAATTGTTCAATTTAACGTTTAATAACGTTCAAAGATATTTCTAACTTCTCCGTGCTGACTCTCTCTCGAGTCTCAACTCTGCATTCATGCAAGATCACCGATATGATATGTCATGTGACTTTGATACAATGACAGAATATGTAAAGATGAACTAAACTAGACAGCGACATTAGATGTCAATGACGGAAAAAGCATAGAAAGCCGTGCGCCCTGTATTGCAGCATTTAGTGGATCAGGAGATTGTGAACATCTGTGAAGTTATGTCATTTACAAGCAAGAAACAGGAATATGAACACTTTTCTACGATGTTATGTGTGGCTGGTGCCTTTGATGATGCAAGTAACAACGAAGATGGAGAATCTAGAGCAATCTATGAATGCTCAATCATCCTTCCGTTAATCAATCGCCATGCGCCTGTTGATTCGAGTAACGTCATTTTGATCGATTTCTCCCCAGAACAATGGAACAAACACTCCGGGTTATGGAAATCGACGTTGGACAATCTTGTCATCTCATTGACTCCCTCTGAGGGATGTTATGTCATACCTCGGACCTGTATCTTGAGATGTAGTGTCAAGACCTAAGGCAGTACTCTACAGGGAGGCGACAACCGGCGTAGATCAATTGGCCAAGGTTGTCGTATTTTCAGCCGTGGCTGACGTCCTTTGTCATGGACTGACTACACCCATAAGTTGTTCGTCCAATGGTCAACCAATTTTGTGGATTCGATGACCTTTTAAGAGCAGAATTGGGGGTGAACAAAAGTTACTGCAGTATGGAAAGGGAAGGAATAGGAAGGAATCCAAAGACTTCAGAGGGGGTTGTATTCTGAGTAAGTTTTTGTTCTATGTATGCCAGATTACATGATATGTTTACCTCAGTGTGTACGAAGTACACGCAGTGTCTAGAGATAGTCACGCGATGGACGAGATAAGTTATATTACGCAAACTTTACATTATAGTACTTTCGAATGATCTCATCCGGTATTTGACAATCAATACTCAAGGGTTTGAGAAACCAGTTTTGGTGTGAGGCTCGGTTGTTTCATACAGATGAGGTGGTAAAGGATTTGATATTCCTATCTAGCTAGTCATTCGACAATACTCACACAAGATTCACACAAGATTCATCAATCTTTAACTGATGGATGTAGGCAAATATGGTACTCTGAGGCTCGAGTGCCGAGAGTTCAGAAGATTTATATCTATGGCGAGGTGAACTCTATACGGAGGTGGACCCTATACGTGAAGATGAGACAAGAATTAATGTGGCTGAGGAAGTCAAGAAAAGAACGAGGAAACTAAAACATCTTTAAGACCCTCCAATCAGATCAAAACGTCCCCTAGTTTTTACCTCATTGGATTTAGCTTTGCTATCCTGATAATTTGCCCACATGAAGCCGACGCCATACATGCTTCAAGTGATCACCGACCAGCTGATAGATGACAAGTAAAAGTACGAAGTAGGTGATGGAAGCGCCAGTAGAACCCAGAACCGAAAACCGGAACAACGATAAATATCTACCTAGATCCTCTCTTCAATACTTGTTATCAAATCAAACAATCAAAATCTCAGATCATGAGTTGACTGAATATAAGAAACTGATATTATCATAAACTATTGAAATCTGTGTTTTCAAGACACCTGGGCACCTGGTCTATCGCTTTTTTCGTCCACATAGAGGCATTGAAGTGGCTACTACCTACTACCTCCAGCTATGTACTACTCTTCATCCTACCCTACTCGGTATGAATGCTTCGTGTAAAATGATTACTACCTCTGTACGGTAAGGTCTGGCTGGGTGTTATAAGTCTCAGCTCTTTTAAATGCAATGCTAGACTCAAAGCATAGATAGACAGGTATTATATTAATCTGCATAGAGCAATGTATCTTTAGAGTTCCTGGGTACCTAGGCAGGTAATTTTACATGCCTACTTACCTCCTAGCATGTACACACACAAAGAAACGAGTATATAATAACATAATATATGAACATGAAAATTCATCAAACCGTATGATTCATATTGATGGCAGGTCTCTACCTACCTACCTACCTACCTAGCAAAGCATTGTTTGATAGAGTCAGCAATAGAAAGAGAGAAAAAAGCATGTTTTAAGGCAAGAAGAAGCTAGATAGGTAAGCCTTGAAAGAGACTTGATCGCAAAAGAGTGGCGCTAACCTGGAAGTTCTATTGAGGCGCAATCAACCTTCAGCTTTATTTTCTATTCCAGAACTTCTACTACTTCTTGTTCATCCATCAGATCCATTGCAGTGTACGCAGGAAAGTCAGCAGCTCCCAGTGCTCTACATTCGGTTTTCTCAACTCATCAATTCCACCACTTTCTCGATTTGTGAACCTGTATCATTTATTATCTTTATCTACTTGAATGTTATCCAGCCTGTCTGATTATGTTCAGCGAGATAGCAGCCCTCGTAGCCCTGGATAATTACGTCGTTTAACACCGTTTGCGATTTAATTCATTATACCCAAATTCAATATATGATCGAATCGCTAAAGTCGTAGGTTCATCATGTCAATTGCAAAGCGTGAGGCGATCGTTTCTAATTCTCTACAGAAGCCTTATGATCCAGCAGAAATCCCAGCCTCGCAACAATTTACAATCCGGTAGTGAAGACTCGACATGAGAGCTTGATTACATTACGAGCGTTATCAAGATCGCGAATCAAGAATCAGTGAATTAAAGCGTGAATTTTTGACCCATTATAATAATATCGAGTTCATGGCCTCAGAGCAAGAAACAATTTCCGCGACCGTACCAGGTTTTGCCGCGAACTTATCAGACCCCGCCACTAAATCTTCTCCTGCAACTTCAAGTCATCCCGAATCCGACAATACTAGACCAAGGTCTTTAAAACGAAGTCGGGCAGATCAAACACAACCTCCGACGACAAGTCTTACCTCAATCGCGAACGCGGGGCTGGTTGTTTCGCCTGCAAAAGCACCGCGATTTGGCGGCACATTCTCGCCCGTGTTTCCTGCTGCGCCGCTCACCGGGGCAGCGGCCTTTGAAGACGAACGACGGAAGAAGGAAGAAGCGCAGAAAAGTCAAATCGGCGCCATGAGCAAGAATCCCGGTCATGAGGCTATCGCGTCTCTTTTAGGCGGAGGAGGAGTTAGCGTGAGCAGACCGCAAGACGCTCCCATAGCTGCAACCACGATAAGTGAGGGCATGTCCGCAGCCGCAAATGCACTGACAATTCCAACCACAATACCATTCGACGAAAGGACTGAAACCAGCCCAGCGAGCGTGGCAAGCCTTGCAAGCTTGGGTAGCACGGCTCAAACTGCAACTGCGAGTCCTACAATTGTCGCTAGTCCGGCTGCTATGACAAATTCTTTAGAGGCTGATGGTCGAGATGCGCGATCAGGTCTTAGTCAGCTTCAAGCTGCCATGGATGAGCAGCCCTCAAACAAATCTATGTCGTTCCCAGGCAATTTGGCACAGATGGATCCTTCACAATACCCTTCTCGAGGGATGAGTTTACCTATGCCCAATCAAAACCAGCAACTCCTACCAAGGTCGCCTTCTCAAAAGAAACATAAATGTCCTTACTGCGAGACTGAGTTCACTCGACACCACAATCTGAAAAGTCACCTCCTGACACATAGTCAAGAAAAGCCTTACGTGTGCCAAACTTGCCAAATGAGGTTTCGTAGGTTACACGATTTGAAGCGCCACATGAAATTACATACAGGAGAGCGCCCTCATATTTGCCCAAAATGCGATCGAAAATTCGCGCGCGGTGATGCACTTGCTCGTCATAGCAAAGGCCTCGGCGGTTGCGCCGGAAGAAGGGCGAGCATGGGAAGCTTCGGAGGGGACGACGAATTTGATGGAGCTAATGTAGGGGAAGCTGATGATAATGGAATGGACGGAATAATGTATACGAATGGCAATCCCCATCCCAACGAAGTAGAAATGTCTGAAGAAGACGGGCGACGGTTTAGTCTGCCTAGTATCAAAGCACAGCATGTGGCTGGTAACACTGGTAGCCAAGATAGTTACGGCTCTCACTCACGTACTCCAAGCACCTATCCTCCTGCTGGGCAGAGACAAAATGCTCCCACAGGTCTTTATCCGCCCGGTACGGATCGCGTAGGTTCTTCTAGTTCCGCTACATCACCTAGCATGCAGAACAATGTTATCGGTATGCACACACCAAGCAACAGTGTATCTTCAATGCCTCTCGGCACTAGTCCTGGCTCGATGTTCTCCCAAAGTGGTATAACTGAGAGTCCTAAGCCACTAAGTCCCGCCGGTATGCATTCACACCAGCTTGGCCACGATTCTGCCTCAATCACCAGACAACGATCACCCAGCTTGACCACTCAATTTCAGCAACAGCACTTTGGTCGTCACCAGTCTGGAAGGAGTCCACCTCCTGGAATGTCTTTACCATCTCCACACAGCGCACAGGGCCCAAAACTCCCGGCTCTGGCTGGCTTAGCCCCTCCTGATACAAGATTTACTTTGACAAGTCAATTATCCAATCAACAGAGCCCTGGAAATAGTCAACAGGGTTCTCAGCAGCAGCAACCAATGCAGCAATCGACATCTCCTACTTCATTGTTCCAACCTTCCAACCCTCTCCAAAGTCGAGGTCCACCAAGCCATCAAGGGAGTGGCGACAGCAGTAACAATCTGTTTGCATCTGGCGCCTCGGGCGTCTGGGCATATGTTAATACATTGGAGGAAAAACTCAAGCTGTTTTCTGACAGAGTAGTTGCCATGGAAGCTAAAGAGAAAAGCCAGGAAGAAAAGATTAAGGCTCAGGATGAGAAGGTGAACCAATTGTCAGAGGAGCTTCTTGCTGTCCGTAGGCAATTGAGTTCTCAGAATCAAGGAACATCATAGCAACAATCACCATAGGACGCAAGTATACGCAGCTGTTCTATACCAAAATCACTTGTGGTGTACAAAGATATCATGGCGTTGAGTAGCGAAAATTGGGGTCACGATACGCTTTGCGTGGACTACGAACCTTATGCACGAATTTCACTTCTTTTAGTGGAGGAGGCGTTTTATTTTGGGAGGTGTCTTCACGGGACTTTCAAAAAATGGTAGCACTACTTCTTCATAGAACTTGGCTGGCTTTCTCTCATTGTCGGCACACCGGGTTATTTCTCTCTTTATTCATGGTGAAGACATTTCGGTAGGAAGAGGTTTGAGGAAGGAATGAGATATGTATTTATATTTTTGCTGTAATCACAGAATCGCAGCGGTTTGCGGTCTCAACGTATTTTTTGCCGAGTCGGAAGTTTACAAGTTATGAGTTTTTAGAATGTGTGATGAAAGGTACCATTTGACGGAGACCTACTCTTTTGGAATATGATTCAAGCTATGGTTATACAATTTCAAGCCTTTATCTTGTAAAATCTACAACATTAAGACAAAATATTGATATTCGCGTGTAGATAGACAGACATTGAGCGAGGGGCGGAAAGACGAGAAGAGAATGATAGAAACTTGTCATGAAATTGCTTATACAAAGGGTTAGATGCTTCTAACACTTTTCGAGGTCTGAAGCTTCGAATCAATAATCATTGAATAACTAGATGTACAAACAAATTTAATCTATTTTGAATTTCACTATGGATTCAAAAAGGTTATATGCAGGCATATGGCATGGGTGGTTATGACGGCTTGTTCAGGCACGAACTTGAATGTATTGTACCATCAGTGGGGCAGCTCCACGATTTTCATTAGGATACCAGGCTTCTTCTGGACAGGAAGAAATGAAACAGCTAAGAACTACTCTCTCTTCAATATTCAGCATAAAATCAAAAGATCATTATTTCGATTTATAAAAATTACAAATATGTTTACTATGCGTTAATTAATTATAACATTAAATTCTGTTCTACTCGTATAGATATCGGTATTCTTATTACGTGTCAAACTATCAGTATTCTCAATGTATGGGTTTGTTTTAGCTACTTAACCGTACCGCTTTTTTTCATCGATACTTATTAGGTTAAAGCCAAGCTTCCTTTTTCTCAATCCCGTTCAAAGAAAGGCACGTCATAGTCTAGAGTTATTTTTGGTCAATGCGAGACTGGACTACTTATTAGATATCCACGTTGAAATACGGGAGGTGCTTCTTTTCTAATTAACTAGTATTCTGCATCTGTTTTATTTGCTTGTCTCTTTTGAGATATCGATCAATCCTATACGGTTCGCGACGGGGTGCATTCATAACAATGCCAGGACCAACGTTGGGTTCAGAGCCCGCTCTGCCAGAAGAACGCGAAAAGTTACACCTTCCACCCAAAAGTTATGCCGATGCTGCCGAGGAAACACCAGAATCACCAGATGATGGAAGCAATGAAAATGATGAAAATAAAGAGAATGGCGTGAATGGACACACAACCCCGAATGCGAATGGCTCGGCCAAAAACGGACCTAAGCATAAAGTGTCAGTTCTGAGGATCGTGGATACGAACAGTTCAGATTCTACCAAATCTGTCGACAAACAAGATACCAGACCAAAGTTCGATAGGCAGGAGTCGAAAAGAGAGTACTCGGCAACGGTTTGTGCTGGAAGGAGCCTTCAATGTTTGATCTGAAAACTAACATTCCAGGGCCTCGACGATACTCCGAAAAGCCCTCCTCGACACAGGCAGCGAAAATCATCTTCCCAAAAATCAAATGGAACCCATGAGAATGGTCAGGACCTGAACACAAATGCGATGACGGATACTCAAAATACTACCAAGCATAACACGGCCATCTTCGAAGGCGAACGAAATGGTAGTAAGCTCACTAGTGTGAAGCCCTCGGAGGATTACGAAAAACAACTCCAAAGAGACCACAATGAGGCTCCAAAGTCTAAAGACGAAAAACTGGTTAGCGGGAGACAAGCTGGACAAAGATGGCATACAAGCGGCATTCGATGGGCCCCAATGAATGTTCCACTTCAACGCAGACTTCAAACCTTGGTGGTACTGTTTCATACACTCTGCATTGCCATTTTTGTATCAATGTTCTTTTTTCTATGCGCGATACCCCTATTCTGGCCAATATTGATCCCGTATATGATTTACCTCATTACTTCCAAGGCTTCAATATCCGGGACTTTGAGCCATCGTTCAAACTTCTTCCGGTCGCTACCTGTGTGGTCATTATTTGCATCTTACTTTCCAGCCCGGTTACACAGAACTCAAGAGCTACCGCCCACGAGGAAATACATCTTCGGATATCATCCCCATGGTATAATCTCCCACGGGGCGTTCGCCGCCTTTGCCACCGAAGCTCTTGGATTTTCTCAGCTCTTCCCAGGTATCAAGAATACACTTCTCACATTAGATACCAATTTCAGAATACCGCTATATCGTGAATACGCTTTAGCAATGGGGCTTGCGTCTGTATCTAAAGAATCTTGCGAGAATCTACTTTCAAAGGGCGGGCCAAACAAGGTATGTTCGAGCAATCATATTCGTAATCAGATTCTAACTATCAGACTAGGAAGGTATGGGTCGCGCAATCACTATAGTTGTTGGAGGCGCAGCAGAGTCACTAGATGCACAGCCATACAGTCTCAGATTGGTCCTCAAGCGTCGCAAGGGTTTTGTCAAGATGGCGATCCGAACCGGCGCAGACTTGGTTCCAGTTCTAGCATTTGGCGAGAATGATCTTTATGATCAATTTTCAGCCGACTCACACCCATGGATCCACAAATTTCAATTACTGGTTAAGAAATTGATGGGATTCACCATACCCCTCTTTCATGCTAGAGGTGTCTTCAACTACGATGTCGGCCTTATGCCATATCGAAGGCCTTTAAATATCGTCGTCGGCCGGCCGATTAAAGTAATTCAATCTAAAACTCCAGAACAACAAGATATCGATCGCGTTCACGAGGAATACGTGACGGAACTTGAGAGGCTATGGGACTTATGGAAGGACGATTTTGCTCCTAACAGAAAGGATGAGCTCCAGCTCGTTGAATGAAGCTTTGCGTTCTAAGGGTTTCTTTTCATAGCATTTTTTTTTTTTGGAATCTGGCATGCTTGTCGGCGCAAAAGGATTCGCTTCTATGTACAAATAATATTATTTAGCACTCAACTTTGCACATTGACGTTAGCTTACGGGTCAAAACCCGGCGCCTAGCGTCAGTAAGGGCAAGAGTAGCAGCGGAATGATGGACAGTCTTTATATCGTTAGTGGTCATCGTTATAATTGTTCATGATATTTATTGCACTTGACATTATTTGTGAATGTGGAAAGAACACTGAGTGAAGCTTGCAGTTCCATTTTCATATTTGAATGTACCAGTTCAATTCAATGATCCTACTCATTTGAACTATCTGGATGATCTATATGCTCCAGATCATGTCAATCTCCCAGGCGAATGAAGTCGTTCAAATCACTTGCATGTTGCAAGACCAATGAAATATTGTGCTTTGAAATATGGACTTTGTTTGATAACGACTACACTGACTAGTAATATCAATGATATAGCAGATATAAAGAGAGATGGGCAGTTAGAGATCAAAGTATATTTACCTAGTATTCATCGAGTAAAGATCCCCTTCAATCTTTCTAACCCCTTGGAATCTGGATGTTTCCACGCTAGTAGACGGAGGTTATTATCTAATTCGGATCTTAAGCTGGAGGTACAATCTTAAGATAATCATGTCATCACGCCGAAAGTACCAATTGTGTTTCGATGATGAGAGACCTCCTGAGCCCATCAGTTCGGTGTTCTCATTGCTCGTACGATACACCTAACACCTACACTCCTCTGAAGACTAGAGCCAATTTCCATCAGCCATTCTCTAGTGGAATCATTCAAGCGAAAAATTAAGGTACGGATACGGAATAGATCTAGCCAATCAACGCATTTTAAATCTAAACTACGGTAAGGTACCCTGCTGTCTCCTTTTGAAGAAATATCCCATTTAAATTGTCGACATTCGCAATTCTGGAACGACAAGTCTTCTCAACTCTCTTTTCATTACTTTCTGCACAACCTTTTCGTGTGTTTGTGTACCGGCAGTATATGCGATGGGTATTCTTGAAAATATAGCCGGGCCATTGGCCCAGGAAATTTCGCAGCGGTCAACGGGTGTTGTTGTGGCAGCTGGCGTGGCAGCATTCATCGTTCTATCTGTTGTTCTCAATGTTTTGAATCAAGTGTTATTTGCAAACCCCAATGAGCCTCCCGTGGTCTTCCATTGGCTCCCAGTAATTGGCAGCACTATCACTTACGGCATGGACCCTTACAAATTCTTCTTCGATTGTCGCGCAAAGGTATGCTTTTTATCCCCATGTTCATTGTTTGGAGACTAATATTTGTGTATTAGTATGGCGATATTTTTACCTTTATCTTGCTTGGAAAGAAGACTACCGTGTATCTTGGACGAAAGGGCAGCGACTTTATTCTCAATGGCAAGCTCAAGGATGTCAATGCGGAGGAGATATACACTGTTTTGACAACTCCCGTATTTGGAAAAGATGTAGTTTACGACTGCCCAAATGCGAAGTTGATGGAGCAAAAGAAGGTCAGTTTATTACAGGCGGTAAACAAGGGGACTTAATGGCTGACAATGCTGCAATAGTTCATGAAAATTGGCTTATCTACAGAGGCTTTCCGATCATATGTCCCAATCATACAAATGGAGGTGGAAAACTTTATGAAGCGCTCTTCGGCATTCAAAGGCCCAAAGGGAACTGCTGACATTGGACCCGCTATGGCTGAAATCACCATCTATACTGCTTCGCATACTCTGCAAGGAAAGGAAGTCCGCGATCGATTCGATACCTCCTTTGCCGCTCTTTACCACGACCTCGACATGGGCTTCAGTCCTATCAACTTTATGCTTCACTGGGCCCCTCTTCCTCACAACCGTGCCCGCGATCACGCTCAACGAATTGTAGCCAAAACTTATATGGATATTATTCAAAACCGACGTGCTCAAGCTACGGAGGCAGAGTTCAAATCTGATATTATGTGGCAGTTGATGCGCTCGTCTTACAAGGATGGAACTCCAGTTCCAGATCAAGAAATCGCACACATGATGATCGCTCTTCTCATGGCCGGACAACATTCTTCCTCATCTTCTATCTCTTGGATTATGCTTCGCCTCGCCTCACGCCCAGACATTATGGAAGAACTCTACCAGGAACAAATCCAAGTCTTAGGTGCTGATCTCCCTGCTCTCACTTATGATGATTTGTCCAAGCTTCCTCTCCATCAGAACGTTCTCAAGGAAACTCTACGTCTCCACACCCCAATCCATTCTATTATGCGCAAAGTTACTACACCAATGCCAGTCAGCGGAACCAAATATGTCATTCCAACTTCACATACGCTTATGGCTTCTCCGGGTTGCACAAGTCGAGATGACGAATTCTTCCCCGAAGCACTTGAGTGGGATCCTCACAGGTGGGATATTGGTTCCGGCCGTGTTGTTGGAAATGATCAGGATGAGGAATTCCAAGATTATGGTTACGGAATGATTAGCAAAGGTGCTTCCAGTCCTTACCTTCCATTCGGTGCCGGTAGACATAGATGTATTGGTGAACAATTCGCCACTGTACAGCTTGTCACTATCATGGCCACCATGGTTAGATTGTTCAAATTCAAGAACGTTGATGGCAGCAAGGATGTGATTGGTACCGATTACGCAAGTTTATTCACCAGGCCATTGGCGCCAGCCGTTGTAGCTTGGGAGCGACGATAAATGAATGGATTTATGGAGAATAAGTTACAATGACGGCATTGCATGGAGTTTTTAAAGGTTCGATCCTGAAAGAAATATTAATAATATACCCCGACTTTTTTTAACTTTTCAGAAGAAGGGGCCAGCTTTGGGGGGTGGTTGATTGAAAGATATTCCCTGTATGTTAGAGTCTTGTCATATAGTGATTGGTGAATTGGCACCATATTAAGAGGATAAGCAATATTATTCCGTTGTAATTATTTTAAAGCATTGTTTAATGTAATTCGAGGGAAATGTGAAGGGTGACGGAAGAGACGGAATAAGCAGGTGATTGATGCAAATGATGCCAATGTGATGAAGTGGATTCCCCTTCGGAAAACGGATAAGTGGCTGGCTGTTGACATGCACGAGGGACAGTAATTGGATTGGAACCCATGAAATATTGCGCATAAATGGTGCACTCTTTTTGCCGGATTTGCCTCTAACGATTGGGGAATGTTTCAATCAAGTTTTTCCCGGAGAACCTCGATAATGTGTGGCGATTGCGATAAGGCTGAATGTATATATGTATTGGAGATTGGGTAGTGGGTAGGTATTATTGACAGTGTACTAAGGTAGGTACACGGGTATACAAAGGAGACAATTGCGTGTATTGCAAACTTAATATTCACACTTGTGATATTAGTACTGGCTGGACTTGAGTTTTCTTATTATGAGAGAGGTAGGTACTAGGTAAGTCACACGTGTGTGCTTGGATTTCTTAGTATAATTTACACTTCGAGTTTCTTATTATATACACTTACCACCTGACTAGTATTCGAATTATATCTAAATTGCATTCGAATTACGATATATCCAAATTATATCCCATTTACATTATATCTATCTACTGACCTATCTACCCAGCCATATCTCTCCCAAGGATCATCTACTCACCCACCTACCTACCTAGGTAATCTGCAAGACTAATGAATATTTAATATCTAATATCAGCCAATAAATCAACCAATACAGACCAAAAAGAATCTCCCCAAGAAATTTACCGATGCTGGTCTGCTCAACAAAACAATTTCCCGTAGACTATATCCGAATCTAAAGCTTGCCGTTTTCGGATTAACTTGTTTTCTTCTACCTACTTAGTTTTATATTGGACATTTGAGACCCCTCGGGCTCGGGTTAAAAAGTAACAAAAGTAACTTATTATTTACTGATTAACTCTTCGACCATCTGCTTGTTTCTTATTCCGGTCCAATCGACTTTACCTTCATATTGTACTCTCGTGATACTGGTCATAAGTCTTCTCCAATTTACTTACCATTCTTCTTTCTCAATCCGTCTATTTTGTTCCTCGGTCTTCTCCTAATATATCTTTTGTTGCCGTCCCTGTCTCTCCTGTTCCTCTCACTTCACATCATTCTACGAAATTCGAATTCCTTACATCTTTTCTATGCTACACTTTGACGACTAGAAGCCAATTTGTTTCACAGACGATCATTATTGTGAACCAAAGAATACATTTGAACCATGGTTTGCGCAGCGTCATCTTTGACGGTGGAGTCTTACGAAGATGTTACTACCAGCACGATGGCTTCAGGAAGAGAAGAAGCCAAACCCCTAAACAAGAGACGGCATTCTTCCTTTCACCCGCGACGAAAAAGCAGTGAACAAGTGATGGATGGCGAGGAAAGTCTTATGCTCAAGGTATTTAACCACAGTAACTTTTTATCCTGTGGCGCATAAATTCTAACTGAAAGAAAGGTCGATGTATTCCTGTCAGAACTCGAGCGCAGATTAGATTTCATTGAGAAGTACGGGAATCTTACCTTCGATTCGAGTATCCTATGGTCATATGCAACATTACAGGCTGTGAGGGAGAGATGCTCGCAGGTTTCTGGCGAAGTGTTAGGGGCTACAAAAAGGAGGGCGAGAATCATGGTTGACACGGTTGAATCGAGATACCAAGATGCTTTGGTTGCGCATGAAACATTACATGAGAAGGTCCATACGGGAATCGGGTTGTTGGAAGGAATTCTATCTGAATTCGAAACGAGAGCGTACAAAGTAAAGGAGAAGGGATTAAGGGGTACAGCGGAGAGCTTGATGGACGAAGGGCGCAAAATTGTGGACGAGGGTTTGGGAAAAGCCAGAGAAGTGGTCGACGAAGGTTTCGAAAGAGCTAAAAAGGCAGCCGGGACCGTAGAAGAGCACATCGAAAACGCCATAGCTCGAGCGAAGAAACATGGACTCATCAGATACGAAGACTTGCCTACTCCATGGCGGGTCAACCCACATATCGTCAAAGGTTACCGCTTCACTGAATCAAAAGTGGAATGCGTCCAATCGATGTTCGGCTTGTCAAACGAAACTGTCAATATCTGGTCGCATGCAATCGGCCTGCTCATTGTTCTATCAGTCGCATTTTACTTCTACCCCTCCAGCCACGCATTTTCCCTTAGTACGAAAGCCGATGTCTTCATTGCAGCATGCTTCTTCTTTGCTGCTTCTAAATGTCTGGTCTGCAGTACGATGTGGCATACGATGAATAGTGTAGCCGATCAAACGCTCTTGGAAAGATTCGCTTGTGTTGATTACACTGGCATTTCCTTACTCATTGCTGCTTCTATCATGACAGCTGATTACACAGCATTCTATTGCGAGCCTGTAAGTCGCTGGGCATACATGGGCATAACTGCTGCTCTAGGTTTAGGGGGCGTTATTCTTCCTTGGCACCCAACCTTCAATCGACAAGATATGGCATGGGCACGTGTCGCATTCTACGTCAGTCTCGGCGCAACTGGTTTCGTCCCTGCCTTACAACTCAATCTCACTCGCGGTGGAGCATGGGCAGCGGAATTCTACGCCCCCCTTGCAAAGAGTATTACTGTCTATTTAGTGGGAGCATTTGTCTATGCTAGTCAAGTGCCTGAAAGATGGTGTCCAGGTGCCTTCGATTATGTTGGAGGTAGTCACAACCTCTGGCATTTTGCAGTATTGGGTGGCATCCTCTTCCATTACGTAGCGATGCAAGAATTCTTTGCAAATGCATTTGCGAGAGCCGAAAATGGTTGCACGATTTACTGATTGGGTTATTGGTCATCGTGGGTTATAGATCGTCAAAAGGTTTATCATATTGCATCTGTTTTAATTTCATTTGGGTTGGGCATGGCGAGGGCGTTTGGATATTTTACGAGGCGTAGCATTGCATTGTACTTCATTAGAGCAAAGTAGAGTAGATGAAGAGATAGAGACGGAACAATTTCTAAGGAAAAGTTTGTTAAGAATGCATGTTGGTCGGAAATTTACAAGAGGGCCTAGAAGATTTCCTCACTTCAATCCTATAATGACTCGAAAGAACAAGCCACTTTAAAACATTTTTGGGGGAGCAAACAAATATGACACCAATTTTCTTGTCCGGTAGATGCTTACAAGTAAGAAGTAAATACGCATGCCATAATGATCTTGCGATGTAAAGTGGGTGGAGTGCCCAGCCCCGAGTTGAATATTAAATGGGGGTTATTATCTATAAAGGAGCCTATCGAGTTTGCGCAAACCAACTCTCCCAGCGAGCGGCGTCGTTGTTCATTTCATCTGTATTATCGTACATCCCGCCCTTCTTCCCAATTTTCCAATTCTCCATGTCGACACATCACACATCACACATCACATATATTGCACGTCACATGCTATACCTAAGTAGGTATTCACCAACCTCCCCAAGCCACCCCAACTCCGATAACAACCCACGCTCCCCAGTAGGGAGATGCGGGGTCGAGGGAAGACGCGCCGCTGCCGCTCAGCCAGTTGGTTACTTTGTCCCAGTCGGATTCGAAGGCGTTGGAGGAGGAGGTTGTGGGGGTGAGGATGAGTGATGCGGTGGAGTTGGGGGCGAGGGTGGATTTGGTTTGGGAGGTGAGGCGCGTGGGGGGGAGGTAGGTTCCTGAGGAGAGGGGGGTGGAGGTGCTTTGGAGGGGGGTTTGGGTTTGGGTTTGAGAGGGGGGTGATGATGCGGGGTTGGTGCTTTGTGCGATTGTTTGGATGCGTTGAGTGGGTTGAGTGGGTTTGGTTGTTTGGAGGGGGATTTCGCTTTCAGTGGTTGAGAGAGTGGTGGCGGGTGTGAAGACTAGGAAGGGGAGGAAGATGTAGAGGAGAGGGAGGATATGCATTGTGAGACTCGAGAGTGATGTTGTTAGGTGTGTGATGAATGAAGAACTGGGAGACTTTTGAAGAATCGAAGAAATTGAACGTACTCGAGATGTCTGTGGGTATTTCGTCAAGTTGTGGATGATTAGACCAGCTAAAGCGTTTCTCTAATCGATTCAAAAGAGGATTTTTCTTTCGTAAATATTTATGTTACAGGTATAAACTTTTGTGTAACTAAAGAAAGACTGCGAGAAAAGAAAAAGGCGATTAAGAAGATGTATACATTGGGAGGATAGAAAAGAGACACATAAGACTACGGGCGTGCAGTGCAACAAAGTTCTTCCTAGATGGCTGTACAGCCATTAACCTCGACCGTCCACTTAAACTTAACTTGCTGAATTTCTTGCTGCCTTTTCGGCCTTGTCTGTCACTTGCACTGGAAGACCTACTTCCAGAGCTATCGGGACATAATAAGGTCTCACGAGGTGGGCTGAGAAATCCTTAAAATTCTTTGATGCTCTCGAAGTATGATTTCTTCACGTGTACGTGGGTGATTCTCACACCAAAGAGCGTCTGAATGTCAATCGTAATATTTTAGATGTTCAAACCATGATTGGACAATTAGACGATGGATGGAAGGGACTGGACGACGGAATGCTACCCTTCAAAATGGAAGGAGCGATGGGGGTAGGTACTTTCCTAGAAGTACTAGTGTCATTCTTATCCTTAGTGCCAGTATAACCCCCCCCCCCTCTTTCTGCTTCATCCTCACTTTCCATATTCAAAAGATTCATGAAGAATGATAATTTGTTATGTTAGAATTATTTTGATGATTGTAGGTAGGGTCAGATGTTAGGTTATATGGCGAGGCCAACAATACAATGAAACGGTCGTGAAGAGGCGCTTCAACCGCGCGCGAAGCAAACACACCCAAGATTGACCAAACTAAGATGCTCGCAGGATTCCAGACTTTTAGAAATCAATTTGAATTGAATTTGCATTGAGCAGTACCGCAACCGTTATTTCCACGATAGTCTCCCAGCCAAGTTTTAGCCAACAAAGATTACACTTCTCCACCTAAACATTGTGTGTCTGTTTGAAAGTGTGATCTTCTCCAATACAGATCTCGTATGCTAACTTCGCATTCTCTCTAGCTTGCTGCAAATGTTGCGGAGCCAAAACACAATAAACACTGCAGAGATAAACCCATGCCTCGATTACTCCAGGCAGCATTAACCCCCATTTCGCAATCTCAAGAGGTTTGCCGGGAGCGCAGGTAAGCTTGCATTGTTGATCACGAAGCCAATGGACTCCAAGGCTCTTAGCGTCGTCGATACAGCTTTCTGGGCGATTTTCCGCTGGGAGTAAACTCGAGCTAATCTGAAATATGATTCTCGTAACGCTAGTCGTGGAACGTCGGTTGCCGGACGCTTGTACGTCTTTTCGAGAGCATGCAACAAACTTTCGGCTTGGGGAATAGATACATGGCTCGCGTCCAAAACTATCTTGAAATTTCTGAGCAACTTCTTTCTCATTGTGATTTCTTTTCTGGTTGCGTTTTCCAAATCAATGCAGATGATACACTTGCATCGAAATCCCCAATGTTTTAAATCATTTTGTATTTCATCGCTCTCTCCCGTGGGCATTTTGTACCAGTATGTCACTTCTGTATTCGCGGGTATATCACTTGTAGCCCGAACCAATTGTAGGTCACCAAGAAAGCTTCGACGAGCATTGCTAAGACAAGAGTGATTGATTTTTGAAGTCATGAGCCAGATGCCGCATGAGTGATGCTTGTCATCCTCTTCGGGCTCTGATGATTGGCTCTCAAAGGTAGAGAGAGGGCAGCCAAAGACATTGAGAGCCATGATTTGTTCAACAAGGAAGCTGTTTATGCAAGAAAGCATCAGTATCAGATAAATCATTTCAGGATGGCAACGTACGTATCAATGACTGGTTTCCCATCAACCTCGGTTTCTTTCGCAAGCTTATAAGATCCACGATGAAGCGCAGTAAATTCGGGAATAAGGGATGGATTCTTCCAGAGCTTTTGTACGATGGCCGTTATGAGATCTCCCTGCGTCCCGACTATCATTCGATTCGTATGGACATTGATCAGAAGGGTAGTTTTTGCATGGATATCCGAGTCTTTTGACACTCCAGCATAACAATGAGCAAACGCCTTCTCACACAAAAGCAGTTCTCCTACCTTCACGGCTCTAGTAGTAAATAATCCTTGTCCACGGTCCGGGGAAGACTTGACGACGACCGGTCCAACATATGTTGCGTGGTCTAAGTGCGGAGGTCTAGTTGTTGAAAGCTCCTTGTAGATTGACCTAAAGTCGTACATTCCACTTTCCTGCTCTTTTACACGGCGACAAACCCGCCTGAGCCCTGCGGTAGCAGCAGAATTGTTGGGATACTTTGCGCAGAGATTTTTGAAAATATCATGGCATTCAGAGAATCTTTCGAGCCCATACAAAGCTTGTCCTGCTCGGTACAGTGCTTTTTCTGGTGCGTCTATAAGGGAGATCATGCATCCCGTGTCAATCAATGCAGCATCAAAGTTTCCATCCTTGAGGTATGCCAATGCGCGATTGAGACGGATTATCTCTGCAAGATGGGCGGAAGGACTATACTTGAGAGCCGCTGTATAACTATGGTAGTAAGGGTTAGCGAAAGGCATCTCCACGTGTAATACGCGAGTCTGTGTCATACTTCTGAATGGCCTCACAATACTGTTTCTTCTCCATCGCCTCATTACCTTCTTGCTTCCAGTCCTCTGCAGACTTACTGATGTCGATAACCGTAGGCTTCCACTTCTCTGGCAACAGATTATGATGTGCATCGAGGTAGGTTATATCGCTCACATGATCGACTCGAAGACCATAACCGCCATCACTTGTAGTTTTGAAATACGGCTCCTTTATCAAGAAAGCATCATCCTTCATAATGACACTTGTAGCTGGGCGAACCTTCTCGTCCGGCTGTTGATAGAGTTGCAGCTGTATAGCATCTTCGTTTTCGTCCTCAACAATAGCCATGATCGCTGTCATTCTGGTGGGAGGTGTTGATGCCCGGACGAGAAGATAGCTACCGCGGTGATGAGTTTCCAGTCTCAGGTCTTTGATTTGTATTGGCTTCAACTTGTTAAGAGGCGTGGTAGATGGCGCATATGTATTGGCAACAAAGGAGGTATGCAACTGCATGCTGTTTTGTCTTAGGAGCCAGTACACTTGCTGCGATGAAGCGTTCATCATGAAGTCCCTGATGAGTTCCAGTCGAGATTTCATGTCTTTGGGGTGCTGCCCTTGACGACGCATGGCGGCTTTCAAAGCCATCCGCTGTCGATCTAGTATCTGCACATACTGAGAAACCTCTGACACATTGTCAATGTCCATTTTGGTGGGTATACTTAACCGTTAGACTTCGGCTGTGAGTTGGGAGTTGATGGATATCAAGCAAGTATAAATGAGAAGGATTTATATATCTCTCAATAAAAGAAACAAGTCCATCAGATGCAAACGCTGGTCCTCCCAGGGTATCCAATAATACAAACTGCAGCTCAAAAATATAAGGCTTTGAACATCTAAAAGTAATTAGAAACTTGAACAAAGTTCAATGTTCCAATCGAATTCAATATCTCAAATGATTTGAATGTTTTAATTGGTTTGGGGATTTGATAATCGTGGTTCTTGGACTACCCTGGATCCTCCCCTATCTTCTGATTTCCACCAACTTTCTTTTCACCTGTTGCTGATCGAAGCCTAGCCTGCCTGTAGCCAGCTCGCATACATGTTATGCATGATGCTTGGTGATCGTATCTATTTTTCTTTTCAAGGTGGCTGTGAAACTTCGGGTTGATGCATCTCCACGTCTTGGTATCCTGTCAAATTCCGACACTTGCAAACGACTTATTCATGATCACCCCCTTCATGTATAGCTTCTGTTTGCTTCCAATACTTGATTTTTGCCGGGAGCACGCTTCGGCTAATGTGTTCGCTCCTACAGGCAGTTTGGAAACGAGGACCTTTTAATTTTGTTAGAAACAAGGTTTGAGATAATAGAGGAAGTTGATACACTTTATACAGTAAAAAAAATTTTTATCCAACGATTTGCAGATTTGGAACTTTGAAAACTTTGTAAATTGGACCGCAGTCCGAACTCTTAGAAACCTGCATCTAATTATGCGCCATTTGAAAGATTGAACTAAACATCTTACTCCGATAGGTAACTTCAATACTGAATTATATAATGCATGTATGCATCCATCTCAAATTATTCATAACATCATGTCCGTGTCGGGATTTCGCTTGAACTCCTATTCCATTTGCTCCCCCCTTCATCCTCTCAATGGGAGGATGTGTTGAATCAAAACCTCTCTTCTACATAGAGGACATTCTGGTTTTTCCCTAACCCAATCTCCAATGCAGCTCCAACAAAACACATGTCCACATCCCAACACACTCGGATCCTTCAGTTCCTCCAAACACAAGGTACATTTTCTGTTTTGCTCCCCCTTTATCCATCCCATGATTTTGTTGTCACTCAGATCATAGCGTGCACCTGTTAGCACAGGTGTATTTGTGGTTTTGCCAATAGAACTGGAGGAATGGGGTATAGCTGAGGATGAAGCGAGGAGATCGCTAGGAGAAGATGGGGAATCAAGGGAGATTTCTACGCCATTAGATAGAATGGCGGAACTTCCAGGTGCAGTGGAAGGAACATCGGCGGAGAAGGTATTATTCAGGTGGAGGTAGGTTTGCACGCTCATTTGAAGGAGGAGAAGTACACCTAAGACTTCATATCCTACACGTTGCTCCGATGGAGCAATGCGCTTTGTAAAGATATAACGTAGTCCCAATAGGCGTTTTGACAGTTGGTAATAAGACCCCGAGAAATAAAAGACGGTGAGAGTAAGGGCGTGAACGGGTGAGGGTGACGTGATTGTTGAGAGATGGGTTAGAATATATTGTTGAAATTTGTAGGAGTATGACTTTTCTTGTGCTTTTCGGGTAAGCTTGCGGAGATTGGCTTCGAGCTTATTACGGATGCGAGTGCGAAATGATGGAAGGATCTTGGTAAGAGAATATGGAAGAAGTATTGAACTCAAAATATAGCCTGCGCGTCGAGAAATGTCGGGAAGTCTTAGAGTATCGTCTTCAATCTGAACAATGTCACAGTACTCTTCTCCTAACGTCCGGTTGCCAATGAAGGTCGTGAGACCAAGATAGAGTAATTCTGAGAATGTTCGCGCTTCATTAGTATAAGTGTGAAGAAATCTTGCTCCATACAACCGGCGCAGGAGATTTGAAAGATGATTCAGGAGAACTCCTTCAAAATATGCATCTTTTTGATGTGATCGAATTATGTCTGGTGCTGCTGCGAAGGGGTACTGATAGGATGGGCCCTTGACATCTGAGGGTGATATCTCGGATACATGATCTGTCATTATATGTATTAGATTTTAAAGAGAAATATTATTATAAAGTTGAAGTTGGTAGGTTTCACGAAAGTTGCGTGAGGAATGTGTCAATGAATCAAGAGCTTAGAGCCGAGGTCGAGCTTTCCGCCATTCCATCAGCCTTGTGCCACAATGTGGCTAAGATAGCTCGAGGCTACCTACTGTTATCTAATTTCCATGTGGCTTCCTTGCGTATCAGATTAATTTGGGATATTCATATGAAAACGTCTCCCTTTCTATTAAGTTACCCAGTATTGTTGTCGTTTGCACTTATACCCAATTCAATTCTTTACATCTCACTTCAGTCATTCATTATCAGCTTTAGTGCGGCAGATGTGGTATTGTAATAGGCGGTAGAATGGATGGAGACCCTGCTGTTGAGAATGAGCTCGACTCTTTCAGTCGCACTCTTCCCTTACCATATAGAGTTGCATTGATCATCGTATTAGGTATGTAGGTCCCTACTGAGTATATCTCTGAAGCCCATTTACTTACATTCAATAGGAGTCTGGGCTTGGGGCGCAAATCTTCATTATCTTTCAATTGTTAAAATTGTAAATGATCATTTCACTCGAACTCCCAGAACACTCTAACCCAAGTGCCTCGCAGAATGTTCCCTCACTCATCCAATACCCACAACGAGCTTCTCCACGAACTGATCCTCCGCATCATCTGTCTGCGTATCGACTTGCTACTTATCTCACAATCCCTCTTGTCCTCTCAATCCTCCTTTTCTGGGCACTCTCCCACCGCGACCCAGCTCTAGTAATCTACTATGACTTTCTGCCGATAACTTACATTTGTCTTCTCTTCCTCGCATTTCTGGTTCCCTTACGCCGCGCATCTTACTCTGGTCGTCTTCATTTTCTCTCCGCCCTCAAGCGTGTTTCAATTGGAGGTCTCGCTCTTCCCAATGAAGGCAAGTTTGGCGACATCCTCCTGGCTGATGTTCTCACCTCCTATGCGAAAATTATAGCCGACCTTTTCGTCTCTTTTTGCATGTTCTTCACCCCTTCTGGCAGCGCAACTTCTCGGCCTGATCGCGGTTGCGGCGGACAATATCTCGTCCCTATTATGATCGCGATACCCTCACTTATTCGTTTCCGGCAATGCATAATTGAATACCTACGAGTTAAGAATTCACGTTCATCGACTTCTGGATGGGGTGGTCAACATTTAGCCAATGCGCTCAAGTATTCCACGGCGTTCCCTGTGATAATATTCTCCGCTATGCAGCGAAACCTCTCCGTAAATGAAACCTCGATAAACATCACCACAACAACACTCTATCGATTCTGGCTACTAAGCGTACTCATCAACTCTCTATACTCTTTCTACTGGGATGTGACTAAAGACTGGGACCTCACTCTCCTGATTCCGTCATCAAAAAACACAGCCTCCTACCCTCTTCGACCTCGCCTATATCTCCCTACACAGGAGCTCTACTACATTGCTATCCTTTTTGATTTCCTCCTCCGTTTCACATGGTCTCTCAAACTCTCTCCTCATCTTGACCACTTTGCCGATTTTGAAAGCGGTATTTTCTTATTAGAGGTATTGGAAGTTGTTAGGAGATGGATGTGGATATTCCTGAGAGTAGAGACAGAATGGGGACGAGAAAAGGAAAAGGGTAATGCAAATGGATTGCTAGGTGGCCCAGGAGTGGACGATGTTCTGTTAGGCGATTATAGGGATGAGGATGACTATAGTGATTAAGATGTGGGACTTTCATGCATCCGGAGAGCTAGACTGGAGTCGATTATACTATTTAATATGAATAGACGTGCTGTAGTGAATTCCGGATCCCTCGGTGAATAGGAGCATGCATCTACAGATACTTGACATGATACCAGGAGAGATTGAGCGCATGAATCAATTGAATGTAGGATATAGCTGGCTATTTCTAGAAAAGGTTGCGAAAATTGAAATCCTAACTAACATACATATCACTCATACTATGATCATCAAACTCACTGACTATGAGCTCCTGGATCTGTGAACAATCTCCAACACCTATCTGGAAGAATCAACGTTCCTCGTCTGGCACCTGAGCATCGCGTTAGCTTCCATTCTCCCCTGCACTTTATTATCGCCCATGCTTGATATACACGTTGACTTGTGTGGATGTTCCTTTGAGGGTTCACCTAAAAATTCGTTTAAGCTAGTGATATCAGACGATAGCTAGTTAGTCAATAGATCGATTTCTCCCCTCTCCCTCGTAACCCCCGTGTCGCTAGCTCAAAGGACGACAGGAGAAATTCAACAAAGAGCTATTACCACATTATCGCATCGCCCTGATCGGGGTAGAGGATAGCTACAAAAAACTATTAAATCTATCATCGTGACCTTTGAGAACTTCAAGACTTCGGAAGTAATCTTCAGTTGCATAAGTAGGCCCGGGGTACCTAGGTATGCATAGATATGTCTGGAATTGTGAGAAGTGAATATGTAATATACCATAACGGCTGTTCTATACATCAAGATTTACCTACTGAGCCGTAGGTATACTGACTCCTTCACTTCTCTGCGAAGCTTGGACAAATTGGATTCCAGCTATAAATCGACCAACATTCAAACAAAACCCATGCCTGTATCGCCACGCCGTACTCCGTCCCTGTATCCAAGCTAATTCGAGTCTTTTCAAGCAGAAAAACGCAACATAATACGGAAAACGGACATGTATGTCTGCCATAAAACGTAACGCCTGATTGTGATCTCTTTTTGTCCTTCTCTTCTCTTCTGATCTCAGCTCATGTTCTACAAATTAGATTAAGAACAGACACGCGCTGGGAAACCTAAATTCGAACAAACGGAGCTGTAAAATGGTAAAAATTTGGGAATAAATAGTGCATGGTGCTTCGATTGGCTTCAGGAAATGCTGTGGTATATGCGCGTAGTTTTTGAAGAGAGATCCTGTCGAGAAGGCGCAAGACCAGACGGAGATTGACTTCTAATAGTCATCGTCGTCATCGCCTCGGCTACCGTCTTTTCCTCCTTTTCCTGGTCCATCCTTTCCATCCTTTCGGATTGGGATTTTGATACCTTTTAGTGTCATTAGAATCAATACTTCGAGCTGTCAGAAAGAGGGGTATGGTCGTACCTTGTGTAGCAAAGCATCTACTTAATGCTGTACTTTCTACCACACCAGGGAATTTCTTTGCGGAGTAAACTTTAAACACCTCCGAGAAACATGAGGCAAGAACAGGGGCCTTTCCAGTGTTAACGGAACACGATGAGTTGGCGTTGTTTTGTGGTGCTGTAGGAACACCAACATTGACGAATGAAAATCGAAGGCTGCTTTAATATTAGTACAGGACGTACTAAGGAATGACTAGGTAGATTGATAGCTTACCGGAAATCACCTTCGGTTCGGACGGAAAGGTCTTGAAGCACAAACCAGATCCCGATTCGATCATCCGGGTCTGTAAGACGAAATGCAGAAGCCGACAAACTGCCAATAAGATTTCGTGTGAACATTCCTTGTGGAGGATTTGTCTGGCTTATGGGTATGCGGCCTAATCCGAGATCTTGTGGGGTGAAAGGACGAGAGGGGTAAGGATCTTGATTATTGTGGCTTGGGACGGATTGAGATGCTATGAAAAGTTGATCAGCACATTATTTTACATTCGTGGTCATCAAATTCAGTAAGGGTTCATACGTTGAGGATAATAATAGTTTGACTGTTGAGGTGGTACTTGGTATCCATTTGGGGGTGGGTAGTTGGGATTTCCACCGTAACCCGACTGTTGTCCGGGTTGTTGCTGCGAGTATGCGCTCACTTGTGGAGGGCCTGGAAACGGACTGAAACCAGCTCCCTGGTAAGGTGGCGCATTACCATATGTTGGGCTGGTGGGTTCTCGTTGACTTTGTCCGGGAAGTAGGCTCGAGTATGCAGCTGCACCTCCTTGTATTTGTGTATAAGATACTGGAACTGTGGCTGAGATCGATGGAGAAGTTTGCGAGTGGCGGACAAGATTGACTGGTCGATCGCCATCCGCTGACCATAAGTCTACGTTAAGCACAAACATTCCATGTTCGATGTTGCTATTTAGACATTAGAATGGTTGCATAGATGTATGGTGTTGGAACTCACTTGACGTCTACCTCTTTCCCCGTGGCAATCTCTGTTATACTAAGCTTGACGCATGGAGGAGGAGTGATAGGCCGACGATCCTAAATATGGTCAATTATGATCGAGAACGAGACCACATGAGAGGATAAATTCTCATTAAATTCTTTGATTCTTACCTTGTCTCCAAATCCACACATTCGAGCTCGTTTTGGTTGTTGTTGAACTTCCAAACTAGAAAATCAATCAGCGACGCTCGCCCCGATAACACAATCGAAGCTTAATATGCCACCCCTGACCAAAATGAGGGGGAGAATTCGATCCAAAATCAAAACATACGTATATTTTCTCCCATCCACGGTAATAGACCGAGGTGATGGTTCTTGACCTGGAAGCCCAATAGAAAATGACGACACAGCCTCTGAGGATGGCAAATGTTCTGGAGGAGGAGGACGAGAAACAGGCAGAGAATTGTTGTATTGCTCGTAGGCTGAAATGGTTGAATGTTGAGATGCCATTGTTTGTGGCATCGAGTATGGAGCTCCCTGATGAGGTGGACCAGGTCGATATGTTGTATCGTGAAGACTTGGCATGGTTGATCGAGGATGCATATCGCGAGGTGGTGAAGCATATGCTGTAGTATTCATGATTAATATATAATTTTTATTTGGCCGTCGTCAATGACAGCCTAGCCCTTAATTAATCCTTCTTTCTGAATATTTGCGTGTCCCGAATTCTTTATGAAGCGGTATAGATGTGAAGAGCAGGAATGGGTATGTGACGGTACAAATGTGCATGTATATATGAAGATATGAATGATGGATGAGGTAAACGGTTTAGATATGTACTTCTATAAGATGGTGATGACAATGGATGTAGCTTCAAATAATTCGGTAGCGAAAAGTCCGTCTGAAGGTTTTTGGTTAAAAGGAATAACCTTGAAGATGATCCTGGTTGCCAAAGGATAATCTTAAAAGCGCGGAACCACGATGGGACGCCTCCTAGCTCAGTGCAGCGTTGCACGCTAAAATGGATGGATTTGGTATGTATGTAAGTACTATATACGGAGGGGGGTATGTGGGTGGGCGCTGGCACTGGCACTGGCACTGGGAACTGAAATTGCCTAGATGGTGTGGGATGGGGAGGTGGAGGGATTGGCAGAAGTAGAGCCTGGACAAGGTATAGATAGATGGTCGGATATCTCCCTTCCTTCTTCAAAGTCTTCAGAGGAATCTCTTCTTCACAGAGGACAAATGCCTCTTGGGACGGAAAGGAGTCTACACAGCTTTATCGTATGGTAGCTCCCAGACGAATGTTTGGTGAGAGAATTCCAGGAGTACACACAACCAGACATCTTCCGCAGAAATGCCCTTGTTCCTGTCTCCTTCTCAATTTCTCTTCTACCCTTTCCAGAATCTTTAGAGTTTGTCAAACGGATGGGATAATGTGATAATGCCGTAATAGGTGGATGGCATCAGATACCTAGTACACGATGTCAACAATTTTTCTGTTGTGTCTTAAAACTTGCTTGGGGGTCTTTGAGGGGCTTTCGGCAGATGAAGGGGTGTAATTAGGTCTGATAGAGTGAGGTGAGTGCCCGCCACTTACTACCCACTACTCAATGCCCACTATCCACTGCCTTACGAGCTAGTTAATCTAGAACTACTAGGTCATGCTCGATTTGGTGCTCGAATTTGACAGCGGGTAGAAAAGCTTGGAATGGAAAGACACAATCACATCTGGATTCTGGAAATTCTTATTCAAGCCTCTTCATTCTTACTGCATACAGTAAACTAGATATTCAATTTGAGTTTTGTCACTTGTTGATCTCCCGGAACCTAAGTTACTGCTCTCAAAACTTACAGCGGTGTCTATTTGAGTTAATTACTGTTATTTATAGGGCTTAACTAGGTACCTGGGTATACATCTCTACCTACCTACCTACACAACACCCAAATAGTTAATTGGCTCAAAATATAGATTGATCAAGTACTTCTGGCTTTCGTATTTCGTATTTCGTATTTCTTAATCATCTGACAGCACAAAAATCGCTGAACTACCTTAGGTGTAGGCACTGATGAAGCATCGATTCAGGGGACTACTTAACGAGTAATGTTTTAAGCAATTCTTATACAACACATCGTGGATACCTAGGTATTCAAACAAATCTGATTAGAGGTGCATGGAAACCCATCAAGATTAGAACTCTACAATTCAGCTATCATGATACAGTAACTAAGATTGTAAATTCGATTTGATAGTTACATTATAACCAATCATATACCATCATCTAATCTAGCATGACTTTCCCCTCAACAATCACATAAGTATCATATAATTGAATTCCTATGTAATCTGAAGTTTTCCATGCAAGATAATGTCTAGAATTCACAATGCTCATTTTATCATGTTTGATATAAAAATTCATACGGATGCAATTGACCGATATGACCCAGTAATATAATATGATCTGATGGTCCTCTCACGACCCTAACGTTAACATCGTATGGCTGAAAGTTTCGATATCATTGGGTTCTCGTTACTTTACATTATCATGTCATATCATCCTATTCCCTCCCACCCCAGCAGTTTTTAAAGGAGGAAAATCCGATGGGAACCCAAAAGGCACCAAAGCCCAAATTGCTGGGTTGATCATGAGTTGTGTTACAGTGCAGCCGTCACAAATTTTAATCCGAATTACCCCAATGAAACTCGTCTGGTAAAAGCAAGTATCGCTTGTCTCTGCGGCGGCGTACGTGCATGCTTGGCATCCTTAAGCATGAATTCCTAAAAGTTGGAATTCATTGACAGATCTATTCGGGTGATCGTAGGAGGTAGCAAGATATAGAAAGTGTGCCACCCAGCATATGCACGAGCGTTTGACAGTTTGGGAATTGGGAATCTGGGAGCAGCTGGGCCGTCTTAAAAGAGAGATGTGCTGCGGCAGTGAAGCGGCAGGAGTTTAGGTTGCACACAATAATACGCCATGCTGAGAAATGATCGGTACTAAGCCTCTCCCCAAAAATCATTCGTGAATCATTTTTAAAGATCTCTCGTATCACTGGATTATTTATTGCTTGACTATCGTATGCCATACCTAGATGCCTCTCCTGCTTGGTTCCTGCTCGCTTCCACCTGGATCTCACCAAGTACCGTACCGTTAAGGACGATTTAGTATTGTATACGAAGTAATGTGGATAGAGCCGTCGACTTCAATGCGCGGAATTAACAGAGATGTATTTTTAACCAAAGATACAGCTAAATAAGCTACCACTTCAATCTTCTATCTCTTCAAAATCTAGATCGCGTTTACCCTCGAAGATCGTTTGTGATCAGACCTTAATGAGCTCGGCATACAATTCTTTCTACCCATGCTCAACCATCAAGGATGATGATATGCTAACAAGAATAGGAGAGTCCGATTGGTATGGATAACGAAGGTGCCAGGAAGATGTTTACCGTTGGTTTGGTAAAGTACCGTAGATGCAAGCATCAGGATCAGGGTTTAGTAATAGATACTAGGTCTCATTAGAGTGGCACGACGAGGTTAAATGACAAGGTGCCTTACATCATCCTGTTTGGTTAAATGTGAATTGCGTCCTCCTGACTAAAAGGCTCAGAAGAGAAATTCTCCATGATCAGAACCAATGGTCCAATGGTCCAAAGCTAATCCATAATCATGGTCCGACTATACGCCATACTGTGGCCAATCTCTAGTAAGCACTTGAACATCATACCCAACGGAACGTTCTTGCATTTGTTGGAAATTCGTGAGATCGAATGAAATTGTCTTTGGGGTCCAAAGACTCACCCAGTTAGGTAAGATAATGAATATGCGGGTATGCTTTGGAGGGGCTTCTTATTGGCATATTGCGGGCAGCCGGGTAATGCTTTTCGGCCAACCCAGGATTGGAAACCTTGAGACTTGGGTCTTGACTTGAGTGAAGACAAGGTCAAGGATATCAAGGATATGGGACGGAAGCTGGGAAGTCAGTACCTATCAATACAAGTGGACAAGCTAAAGCAAAGCCTAGAGCTGGCCCAAGTGTCCGCAACTGAGTAAGTCACTGTGGGGTTTATCGGATTAGCTGACAGGAATATGTGACGTTACTTATGGATTTATATCTCGTTTTGTCGTTTTTGACCACTTGAAGGAATAAATGCGGCAAATTAATAAACAAACGGAAGCACATCCGCTCAAATTAGACTAGGTAGTTCTTCGGAGATGCTGCAGAAATCCGAAAATTAGCAATTCAGGGGTGTGTAGCAACACCGCTAAGATACTTTTACAGCATTTAGTTTCTCATCCCGTCATCTACTTCGTAGATCTTGATTTTTTTTTCTGTTCACTCCAACTTCAGATGATTTGAACGATGATTCAAACTGTCATTTGACACAGTATCTACCTACATTCTAATTGATCCGGACTTTATCTCCTTCATCATGGCATCCAATGAAATCACATCTTTGCCCCCTCCATCCCCCCATCCCACCGTCTACCCCGTACAACCCAACAACTTTATTTCCAGATGGTATTTCCCCTCATCTCCAACGGCTGCCGTGTTACCCCGAGGACCTCCACTCAAAAAGTGGTCTTATGTTTCCATGTACGGACATCATGGTCCTTTCATGTGCCTCCTTGCCACGACCCAGTATCACAGTTTCATAAGCTGCATATCATTTTATTTCCCCTTTCTACCTCATCTGAGTAGAAACAAATTTACATAAGTATATGCTTACTATTTCTCTATAGAGTACATATTGATGCATGCATCGATCATGTAATCTTTACATATTATGAGCTCGCCAACCCCGAGGCATCGGTACGTATCCGAGGGAAGGGTGCCGGGATAAGTAGAGCGTCGCATCGTGCTTACTGGGTATCAACTATCTGCAACTAAAAGATTTTACATGTGTATCAATCTCACAACGATGCTTTTCAGGAAGGAGGTATGTATGTATGTACTAGTAGGGAATCTAGAATTACGCATCGCGAGTGAAAACTTTCTAGGATGGGGGTAAGTGTTGGATACTTCTGGTGATTCCATCGCCGCATTATCATTCATAGTGTTTTATTGTAGAGTCTACGAGAAAATTGAATCACTATGACAAGGTTTGTGTATGCTGTGAAAATCATAACCCATAGCTGTAGGGATATAAAAATAGTTCTGTGTGTTGTAATCGGCACCTAGTACGCAACCATATTGCTCCATAGATTGTATTGGTGTTATGCAATCACATTATTTCATTCGTTGTATTCATATCAAACAATCACATTATCATATAGATAATATAGACATTATACAATCACATTATTCTGTATATTATATCCACAGCATGCTATCAGGAAATTCTGAGGCCCTTGCAAGAGAGAGAACCGGAACCCCCCCCTTTAAAACTACTCTCTCAGATGCAAGGGCTCTAAAACAACATGGACATTACATATCACAATGCTTTTCTGCTGTGCCTCGCAGTGCCTAGCACGATATTTGCAAGATTAATCTGTACATTAAAACACAAGAGATCATTTGATTCTCAGATTTGCATAGGGATATTGAAAACGGTGCGCAGACTTTGAGCCTAAATGACTGTATAAATTGTCGAATGCAATATAAGTTTCGGTTCGGGTGCAAGTTTGAACGGGATTTAATATATGACAGGTATTCAATTTACTTCTTATATTGTGTGCTCGTAGGTAATCATTTGAATGCTGGGCGAGAAGCTATTCATTCTTTGCCGCAGACGCACATTCAAAACGATTTTGTAAGATATTGATGCCAATGATCGAATATGTTACCAGTCAAGAAGTATGACCATGCTCGAGCCATGGCAATAGTCTCAACTGTGCCGCGCGACTGAGACTGCCTAACAAGTACCATCAAAGAACTCACTGTCATTTTCCATCAAAGAAGCATGTAATAATGATTCCGCAAGTGAGATAGGTGATGTTGTGAGAATGCATGTTCTTGCATAGCCCCCAAAAAGCCACCAACACAATATAACATTTGCCGTACACAAAAGTCCTCGACGTGGCTAATCTTCACAATAGTCAAGAAATAAATATGACATGTACCGGCATCAACGTATCGATTGGTCAGAGGGCCTATGTGTTTATTGCAATCATATTAGAAGCCGCGTATAACCGTTGACTCCTGAAACCTTGTGATGGTAAAGCAAGGCCGCAGTTCTCTGCCACATGACGATGCTCAAACTGTGCAATATCAACTATCGGTGAGGGGCAACTCATATCTTCCAAACTTGATCAAATCCATCAACGCCTGGTATCATTCCATCCCATACCTAAGACTCCATAAAATTGCTTAAGCCTTGCCCATCCTTTCCTTCAACCATGCCTTTCCCTTGTCTGCTAGACCTTTCTGGGGCTCGAGCTTGTTATCCGGCTTGCTGTAATCCAGCTCATCTTCGTCTGAGATTGCATTATCCCATTTGGTATCCTTGCGCGCTGCGACGATCTCGGCCTCGCTTGGTTTGAAAATGTTTGCCGCCCCGCCCCGACCGACGTGACTCGATGAAGAAGATTCCCTTCTTGGATTACTAAAGTATTTAGGTTAGAATTAAGCATTGCTTGAAATTGATTCGAGCTTTGTAACTCTACGTACCCACGACATCTTGCGCCTACCTTGTGTTAGCACTAAATTCACATATTTCGATCAAGTAGGTTGAAAAACTTACCCGTCTGGCCGATTTGGGGTCTGTGTTCTTCGCCATATTTCCACTTCCTCCGCGACCGGTGGTGTATATGTCGCTTTTGATGGTAGGTGTGTTGAGGGTGAGAGGCTCATCATCATGAGGAGAAGTGCCAATATTACCTAGAAAGACAGGTTAATAAAATAAAGCCTTAAAGTAAACCAAAGTAAATGGAAGAGAGCTTACCAGCGCCGCCACGGCCGTGAGAGAGGTTGGCCGACCGGATAGAGGATGATGAAGCACGACGAAACTCTTCCTCAGCAAGGTATTGAGGTAGAGCGGCCATTTTAAATGATTAAGGATGCTTCGAGATATGAGTTAAATTCAGTACTTGAGGATTTGCTTGTTTGAGGTGGACTCGGATCAAAGGACAGTAATTTATGTGGTTGTCAGAATCTACTGAAAATATAGCCGCAAAATTTCTTTGTTTTAACCTGAGCTAACTGCGCCAGGAATGAGTGAATTACACCTTATTGCGTGATGATACACAATTGTTTAGAATTTGAATTCGCAACAGGTGCAAACTTTCAAAAGAGAGAGGAAACCGAATCTGATAATGCGGGGAAGTATATATTTATACGTTCGATCCACATGCAACGAGCACAACGAGGTGTACTATGTCCTGCAACATCACAAAATGAGAATGAAAAAGGATGAAATTTACTAAATACAGTCTTAGCCTTAATTTCCCAAACCAAGTAATACAATAAATTCTCCTTAATCTGTCAGATCATGTGGTACTATGTATGTATTTGATGCTGCTATGCGCTCCATGTTTCAAAACGCCTATCCAATCATTGAATTCGTTGAATTCCATTCAGATGTTCAGACATTCAGAGCCAACCGAAACGAGTCGTAATACTCAAATGACAGGCAAAAGCTGAGCGAAATCTCGAGGCTTTTGGGCTCCGGGTAGAGGAATCAAAACGTAATGGAAAATGCATGAGACTCACGGGGCAATATGGCACCATTCTCCCTTTCAATTGGAAAGTCCTGTGTGGCTTCTAGAAGAAATTGTATTCCTCTGCAGAGAGATATTGCCTCACACCTTCCTCACATGGCACATGGTCGTCGTCACCTTGCAAGATCAAGGAGAGAGGAGAGATGATACTGTTGGTGGCCGAGCTACATAACGCTTTGATACCGTAATAATGGACTACTACACATACGACTGAATGGTACTACGGCATATGCGATCAAAGCCTGCAGCATTTCAGGTACGTCCCACAATTGGATGAAAGAAGTCCATATGATCGGGATTCTTGGCAATTTTCGCAGTTGAATAAGAGGCTCTCTTGAAAGGATTCAATCCCGAGCCAATGACAAATATTTCAATACAATTGCAAGTTTATTAATCGTCTCATTATTGAAATTGGAAGGGAAGAGAAGGGTTTCTTGGTGGTCATAGCTCCTCGGTTACCGCAGACGCTAGTGAAGAGCTATGAGTTGATGCAGATTTTTTTCTTTTCCAAATCTTTTTGTACCACAACAACAACAACAACCAACCTTCTTGGTAGCATTTCTATTCAACCTTGAAATATCTCGAGAATAACCCTTTGATCCAGAGCACGCATCATACTCTTGCGTTCTATTTAATCATAGACAATGAGCTATTCATTACTCGCAATCAATGTGCAAACTTTCTTCGACGAACACAATCAAAGATTGCCTGCCTCTGCTCAGTTCCGCCAATACGAAACAAATACATATACAAAGGTGTTATAGGTAGAGAATAGGTATAGGCATAGCAGCTATACGGTAAATACTGCTTCCTGATCCGGCATGGATTTCTTTACTTTTCTTCCCGTCTCACCCATCGTTTCCCTTCTTCCCTTCCCTTGCAAAACCACGCCAGCTTCTAAAACATTACTTAACGGCACTCGATTTCTTCAATAAAACGAGATGTTTTCGCGCTGTGCGAAGAATACATATAACCCGTTGCTGGGCGCCTGACTTTGAGATGTCGTTTAGACTTTTCTGAAAGGTTGGGAATCAGCTGAGGCTACATTCTTTTAAATCATCAATTTTTTTTTTACAGACAACATCAACGACTTGATGTGTGAGTATACAAATGGTCCGTAACTATTTGTATATCAGCGCACAACCCTGTTCTTTAGAAGGCATTCTATCACCTTTACTCGATTGGTGTCGATGACAATATGTCAGCATACTTTGATTTACTTTTCACCTTCATAGATATCTCGAATTCAAATAGCTTAAATCAACAATTCAATATGAACTGAATTCATTTCTAATTTGCTTTGATGTGTAAAGGTGACATAACCATGTGCATTCCCCTTACCCTACCAGATATCCTGTTCCCTGATGCTACCTTTCTGTATGTCTTTCAATAGGCAACTGTATGTTGCACTATGCTATGTCGTCGTCCGCCTTAATTCGTCATGAACTGGTATATTGCTCAAGACCAAGGTTCTCATACTCTCCTTCCCCCACCCCGATCTGGTTCGAACTCTTTCAGATTTCAATGGCAAAGCTCAATTTATTGTCCGGAATTCGATTGGTGATTCGGGAAAACATCTGAGAGATATGCCTTTGCCATGATTACTGGTGAGAGTGGAGATTCGTGGCACACTTTTCGAAAAAAATGAAAAAATGAAACAAATACTTAAAGATCAACGAATGACTTGAGATTGTCTATACTTGAAATATAGATTCTGAAGTTCTGAATCAACAATTGACAATGAACTTGATCTCGAGGGAACAAGTTAATTTTCGGTCATTAAAGAAAGGTTGAAAGTGGAACTTGGTTCAGACACTTTCAACAGTGATGATCTAGAACGATTCACCACCACGACTCTCCACTCTCGCCAGTAATCATGCCAAGCGTATTTATCAGATCATAATACCTCAATATGAGGTGAGACTAATCGTTTCATTTCATCGTGTCTCATAGTTCCTAACTTCTCAGATACTCCTTGACTTTCTCCCCCCAAATGACACCTTTCTTGTAGTAATGTATCTCCGGTACATTTCCTCTTTTCAAACCATCAATTGCCACTGCCAGCTCCTCTCCCAAGCCTTCTTCTTTGATTTGGGTAATTGGAGTAAGATAAGTTTTGAACGAGAACACCAAGGCTTTAGTTTGTGGAAGACGATGTACTAGTTGACGTTCACAGCGGAGGTTTGCCTAAAAACGTTCAGTCTTGTGGAAGAAGAAATGATATGACAAAACAAGTAGAGCTTACATCTTTGATATCAAACTCTTCTTCCTTCGCCTCTTCGTCTTCATACAGATGATTTCCACTCGGTACAAATAAGCGCGAGTGGGTAGTTATCGACCACTGTGCCGTTTAGTTACTTAGCTGCTCCTAGCAGTCTCCGAAATTGGTGGAGAAACTTACGTTGACTCGCTTGATAATCTTCCCAACTTCCAATCGATCGAAACTTCGATACATACTCGTCTCCAACTTCTCCTTGTACTTTGGCACGGGTTTATGAATGTCCCTTATTTTCTTACCAAGCAGTGTTTGAGTATCAAATCCGGCTGGGAAGCATGTAATGAATCCTCCTAGGATATAACCGTCGCCGTCGGGAGAGGGAACCAGCAGGAGAAAATCGGTGTCGACATCTGTGCCTAAGGTACGGAGAGCTTCGATAGGAGAGGAGGGAGTGAGAGGAATATGATGGCCTGTCGCTTTATTCAAAAGAGATGTAGGATGAAGAGAGTAGATGGTGGGAAAGCGGGTAGGAAGGTAGTTGGCGGTTAAGTACGTGTAAAATTCCTCAATCGCAGCATGGGATGATGGGAGGGCTTGGAGTACTTTAGGGGTGTGTTCTCTTATCACGTTGGTGCGGACAGCGAGGCGATCAAGGTATGTCCGGTCCATTTCTATGAGTTCAGATGGAGGACATGATTGGATACCTTTGTATTGTAAGCACAGGAACTTCAGAATGAATGGGTAGCAGAATTCAGAGGGAGTTTTGTACCCATTGTCATGTGGTATACTGGTTTGAAAGGTCGCAGTTTGAGGGGCTCGGTGGTACGCCAGTCGAAATCTGATAGAGGAGTGATACTTGGAGAATTGGCAATAGTCGATATCTTCTCGTCATTGAAATTGGACTTTTGGTATTGGTCAGACTATAAACTTAAGATAGGCACGCAGTAAAGGAAGTGACAATGCCACTTGAAAAGGTTATGTGATGATGAATATTGGAAGGGATATTCTCGAAAAGTGGGCGAGTGAGTGATGAATGTTGTCTTGAGCAATTAAAACTATCAATTGCTCAGACGACTTTTGGATAACAGGACACCTCGCCAGACAAGAACCAAGGTGAGAAGAGAAGCATATTTCAGCTTCAGAGGTACCATTACCGTTTCATTTCGTCGAGCTGTCCAATACTTCCACTGTATCCTCCATACTGCGTATAAACCAAAGATTGCTGCACCAACCTGCAACCAAAAGACCATCATGATTAACGAAATATTCAAATGTGATTATATGATGTATAACTTTGAATCTAACAGATAGTTACCCCGTATATATATTAATAACTACTTTTACCTCGACAGTATCTATCGTCGGCGTGAATACAATGACTCACGCCGTCTTCATCCCAGGAAAATACGTCCCGAATGGGAATGTATAACCTGTGACACAATCACTCGGTGATAAGGAATAAATGTGGACGTATAGTTTGCAAATAGTGGCCTAGGATCGTTGCATGTACGTCCAAGAGCCACCACCACTTGAGCAACAAACATGTCGTACATGTCTCCAAGACATCTCTTTTCATCCTCTGAGTTTGGAGAGTAACGATATCAATATCGTGTTGGAAATAGATGAAAGGACATCGAGGAGAGGCATCTCACGTGGCATCTCATCAGATACGAATACACTCTATGTGTGTGTGAGAAAATAGACCGGAATTGACCACTGGCAATTTGCAAAACCCTTCAACAATCCAATTGTTCCACAAGTGTGTCGTTGACACACAACACAGGTCTTTTCTCAAGAGCGAATTTTGAGGATTCTTACAATTGTCGACTAAGCAAAAATTGTCAAGAATTTCCCAATGAAAAGCGAGGACGTACCTTCCCTTCCCCCCAAACCCTTATATATAAAAAATGCTTATCATATCAAAAGACCTCTCCTCATACTTTGGAAAAGGTATTTCGATTCAAATAATTGAAAATTCAAATAGTCTTGTAACTGAAGGCTTTTCAAGGGTTTGTTTAAAGCTATCAGCTCTCATGATTTCATTTGGGGTTGATTTATCATAGAATTTCCTGGGGTAATCAATTTTGGCCTCTTTTTTCTCCTACAAATAGACCCGATACTCGAGACTGTGAAAAAATGATAGAAATGGTCTATGGCATTTTGGTTTTGCTTGACGCCACACCCTCGTTCGAATCGTCAGCATACTTTCCTAACTACCTGATATCTCTCAACTTGTAATGTGTAAGCTTAATGGGTATTGAATCACACCTAGTTCCCACTAGTGAGAAACGGAAAGTCATTCATAACCGTGTCCAATCGACCCCAGGATCTGAAATGCTCACCATCTGTGCCGGCGAATAGCAGCATTCTAATACGAAGTTCAATGACGGCACTAATGAAAGGCTATTGATGTCTCTTTTTCAGATTTATACTCCGAGATAAAGCTTCCCTAACTGGCTTGGCGTTCTACTCACGATCGTGTATGAGCGTGTCGTCATGAAGAAATACGTGGAGAAAGCACGACTTTGCTAGATCGCATATCATCGCAGCTTCCTGATTAAGTATAGTCAGTATGCAAGGTACTATACGGTCTGCGGACTATAACATAGCATATATGTTGCGTGATAGAGTAGCTGATTTCATATCAATTCCATCATAATCTTTTTTTCTCGTTTTTACTTCGCGTTCTAGAGAATGAGGTGCAATTTACTTCTGGCCAGTGTAGTTACTGGGCTCATTGGTTCAACATGTGCTTCTATATTGACAAAAGTTGGTACGGTTAGAGAGCCGACGATATCGATTACTAGGAGGGATACTTTGGCCTATACGCCTTATACTATAGATCAGCCAGTGCGTTAGAGGTTCAAGCTTCTCTTCATTTACAAGTTCTAATTTTGATATGTAGATTGATCATTTCCCAAATGATCCAGCGTATGCTCCACATACAAATGCTACTTTCAAACAAAGGTATTGGTACGATGCGACGTACTATAAATCTGGGGGGCCGGTCTATCTCTACATTGGAGGAGAAACCAATGGCCAGAATAGGTTCAGCAACCTTCAGACTGGGAGTATGTTTTGAACATTGTAACCAGGTCGTTTTACTGACGATCTTCTAGTCATTCAAATATTGATGGAAGCTACAAATGGTCTTGGAATTATTCTTGAGAACCGGTACTATGGCAAGAGCTGGCCGTTCAACACTAGCACAACAGATAATTTGGCGTACTTGACCAATCAACAAAGTTCGTATCATCTGCTACATCTCCTGCCAGATTGAATCTAACAGACTTGATTCCAGCCGTTGCGGATAATGCATACTTCGCTCAACATGTATCATTGTCTGGTCTCAATGCTAGTATCACTGCACCAGGCACTAAATGGATACTCTACGGAGGCTCTTTGGCCGGCGGTCAGACTGCCTTATCAGTAAAGTAAATTCCATCAACACCCGTGGAGATCTGGAGATTTCCATAGGCTACCGACAGCTTGGATGGTAGATATGAACGCAGTGCAATGGAGCTAATACCGTTCGTTAGGATTTATCCAGACATCTTCTTTGGTGGTATTGCTGCCAGCGCCCCTGTCAAGACTGTTGTGGGATATCCAGAATGGTTAGCAAATACCAGCTGATTCTTTCATGGTATCTGTAACTAACGTTGTGCCTAGGTACAATCCAATTCAGAGATTAGCTCCTCAGGACTGTATATCAAGTATTAACGACATTATCGATAAATTTGACGCCCTTATATCCGCCAACAACACACGTGCGATCCGAGAATTCAAATCCTTGTTCGGACTTGAGGCTTTGACAGACCATAGAGACTTTGCCATGACTATTGCATTTCCTCGTAAGAATAACCTCAAGTATATTTGGAGTTTATTGCAGCTAACTCAGCACAGTTGGCGGGCCAATGAATTATCCCACAAGTACATGGCAAGAACTGAATTGGAGTCCGTTGTATACTTCAAACGATTTCTGGGACTTCTGCTCGAATATCACGAACGTCGATGCTCCCAAAACAGTCACAGAGATCGATTACGCCCTCTCAAATTATACAGGAGGTGAGCCATGGACAAATCTTGGAAATTATGCCAATTATATCAAAAGAGTCCTTATTCCGCTGTGCGATGGCGAGCCTATTGATAGCACCTCCTGTTTTGGCACCCAAAACGAGACATACTATGCCGACGTTACAAATGGAGCAGGTCGTTCATATCTCTACACCAGTACGTGACTCCCTATAAATTCTCCAGCTCGGTATATACTGACTATTGTCTAAAGCATGCCTTGAACTTGGCGCCTATCAAGCAGCACCCGAGACCGGCCCATCACTGATTTCTCGCGTTCTTCAACCAGACTACACGTAAGTAATTACCTCCTTACTAGCATTTGCAGCATGCTGAACTCGGATAAGTCAACAATGGTGTAACTGGGCATTTCCACCAGGAGATTACAATTCTATTCCACCAGTCGTCAATCTTACCTTATGGAACCAATATGGTGGATACAACTTCTCTGCCGATCGTCTAGCTTTCATCGACGGAGGTGAGTAATTTTCAAGCTTAATAAAACCTATGCACCTTTTGCTACCTCCGATAATTCAATCTTTACCAAGCACTAACATCATTCTAGACAATGATGTATGGCTTGATCTCTGTTACCACTCCCACTATGCCCCCAGCCCCCGGGTTTCCTCAGATCTACACCCCGAGTTTCTCATCTCTGGCGCGGGTCATCATTGGGATTCTTATGGTATCTTAGATATTGCAGCCGAACCATTGTTCATTCAACAGGCACATCTTTGGGAGATTAGAACGGTTAAGAAATGGCTAAAAGCTGGTTGGTAAAATGCATTGATGTTATGAGGTATGATTGATCACTTAAATAATTCTCGGATAAAGCGCAAAAAGATGTGTAGTTGTCATATCCTATAGAAAACAAGACAAATGTATGTAGCAATGATCCATTCTATTTCGATAGCGTGGATGAAACTATTCGCCATATACGTAAAGTAATTGTTAGAAATACCTCATCCTGCTGCGCTTTGTCACAAACAATGTTCCAACCTTACCATACAACCCTCGAAGCTTCGAGCCTCACAGCCAGACACATTCTTACCTGGCAAAACCTTTCGTATCCTGTACTTGGCCTCTGGCTATCCTCAAGTGTTAGAGCTTTCCAGCGATGAATCCCTCCGATTTCCTCCTCAAAGCTTGTTCATGATGAAATCCCATCCCGTTCTCACATTATAGACACTTCATTCCCAGTGATTCTCAAGTTCAAGAAGTAACACTCATACTTAGAAAAACACTGTTGAAATGACTCATCCCAGAAGTAATTTCGGGGCGAGTAAACTCTTCAGTGTTTCGGAGCGTGTAATATTCTTATTATTCTTATTATTCTTATTATTCTTATTATTCTTATTATTCTTATTATTCTTATTATTCTTATTATTCTTATTATTCTTATTATTCTTATTATTCTTATTATTCTTATTAATTTCTTCTTATTATTCTTCTTAATTTCTTCTTATTATTCTTCTTAATTTCTTCTTAATTTCTTCTTAATTTCTTCTTAATTTCTTCTTAATTTCTTCTTAATTTCTTCTTAATTTCTTCTTAATTTCTTTTGTTATTTCCTTAATAATTTAATAATTTTATAGAAATAATAGAGATAATAATAATTCTCTCTTATAATCTTTTCTATGTTTTTGTTTAAATTGTTATCTATAAAAGTTTTATTTTATTTTTTATTAAGTTTTTTTTATTATAGGCTTTTTATAGAAATTTGATTTTAAATTATTTAAATTATTTAGATCCTTTAGATCCTTTGGATTGATGCAGACTCATTTGATATCAAAAGAGTCTATCTACCTGTATTCAACATATGATACGAGAGATTTTGGGGGGAAGAGATGGATACATTATTTAGTATAATCTGCACTAGGAGCTAAATCTTTGATGTCGTGGTAGAGGCATGAGAATAGATGTAAAGATTTGTTGGATGTTTACGGTAAACGCACTAGGAACAGCACTCTCGAGACTCAAATTTTCAAAGATAGCCCTGAGAATGTCAAATATGGCAATTATGTATTGTTTGTGCTCGACCACTATAGGCCAAGGAAAGAAGCATAATATCAAGACAGCTAGGCAATATCAATTCCAAGTACTTATGGTGGCACGTCAGTTTTTTTTAAACAATCAAATTGCCCACAAGCTTTTTACTATTCATCTACCTAGTATGCATATGTAAATACCTCGAGAAAAATTGGAAAAGTCCATGAACCTCGAAATCAATGCCATAGCTTTTATCAACTCCAACCCCTACATAGTCGTAAAGGACAGATAAAAGAAATATTCCAGATTATGGGGAGACCTTGGCTGCTCATGATATAATCTCTTCAGTCTCCTCAACAATCTCCTCGACAATTTCTTCAATCTCAATAGCTTGTCCTTCATCACCGCTTGCCATCTTGGATTTGAGAGGCTCCAGAGGGTCAAGGGGAAGACCTGCGTCTTCTCTATCGGCCTTGACATCCTCCTCCATATTTGCTCTCCATGCAAGCCATTCGTCCAAGAGTCTGCGTCTGTGTTCGACAACAGCAAGATCGGCGGATGCACCACGGTCAGCATCTTCTTGATCGAATACCTTGCTGTATTCACGGAGATTCTTGCGGATTTGCTTTTGTTCCTCCTTTGAGAGGAGAGTGGGTGGTCGAGGACGCCACAACCATTGCTTGAACTTCTCAACTGGTTCTTCGCGAAGCTGCTCACCCTTGAAGTCGTACAAATGGTAGCCGTTCTCCATCTATTGATAGTTAGTATATTAATCAAAAATGATTTTTAGCTACTTACGGTGTGCTTCCAAATACTGGCACTGGTAGCAACGAAGCGTCCTGTGGGATCCCAGTCGATATCTGTTACACCATAGTGATCTGCGGTATTCATAAGCTGTAAGTTGGCTGTCAAGTCCTTATCACTTTCGGGTTTCTCGCCCTCAAAGTCCATATCATAGAATTCCATATCGAAACTTTGTTGCGAGTGGACTGTGGCTACAATAACGAATCTACCCTTTGGAGACCAGTAAATGGCATTGCTGTTCTTTTTGTCATATGTGCGGATGTGCTTGAAGTTACCGACACCATTGCCCTTGATCTTCTCTGGGCAGTAGAAGGATACGGATGTCTTAGGTGGAACGGCTGTAGCTGCAACGACTTCTGCGGTTGTAATGATAACAAAGCGGTCACCCTTAGGCTCCCAAGCGAAATTAATAACGGTGTCTTTGATCGAATCAACAACCTCAACAGGGACTCCCTTTTCTTTAACGCGGAAGATCTCCAAACTGGTTGCGAGAGATTTCTTAGACTTCGAATGTCTATCAACCTTGACACACAAATATGATGCGTCTGATTGCCAGTGGAGCTTTGCGTCGGTCACACTGAAGAGGTTCAATGTTCGGACAACTTCTTTAGATGGAATGCTCATCAATCCAACCTTGGCTGGGTTGCTACCAATTTCTGGAGTCCAGTAGCAGAACAGTTGCTCATAGGTCTTGACACCCTCACGGTGTGGGGTTGCTGGTGCCCAGTCGAAGTCCATTACACCGTCAATTTTTATCGAGGTTTTGTCTAGAAGGTTCATTTTAGGTAACTCATAGACAGAAATCGATGAGCCTTGAGTCAAACGCGCAACGTATTTATCATCTGATGACCACTTGAACGCTGGCCATTGTATCTTCCTCTTGATAGGGTTACCGTCTGCATCAACGCTGTTGCTTGGTAAATCGAGATTGGCGAAAGAACGTAATGGCAAACCAGTCTCGATATCCCAGATGACATAGTTCTTTCCATCGTCATCAATAGACAAAGCTGGGTGTCCTTCCTCTCCAATAGTGATTGGTCTATTTGACCATGTTGTAAGGTATTTCTCTCCTGGCGAAAAGTCGACAAGATTGACGAAAGGATGCGCGAAACGCTTTTGTCTAGTCCAAGATGGTCCACCCCAGAGCTGCACACCTTGTTGATGCATCGAGGTCAAGAAAGTACCTTGGGGTGACCATTGTACAAATGATTCAGTCCAGTGTTGGCGATCGACGATACTTTCTGGTGCATCCTTCTCGTTGTTCCAAAGAACTTGTACTCTGTCATCCTTGTACATGACAAATTGATCCCGTCCACGTCCGGCTGGATCCGCAAGCCATGATCTTAAGTGCTCCTTCTCGGTGAACTCTTCGATTTTTGGAGGTGTGTAATTCTCGTCAATGCGTCCTTCCCGACCATAGCGATCAATATCCGTCAATTTGTTGACTCGAAGGGTATGTTTCTTGTCGAGGGGCACGCCATCGAGGGCTTTGCATGCAGCAATAGCTTCAGCAGGGGAAGAGTATTCGACGAAGGCAAATCTATTCTTATCAATATATGAATTGAAGGATGACAAAGAACATCTGAAGCTTACTTGTGCGACTTGCCATCTGGTCCGATGGGCATGTGTATTGAGTCCTTCTTCGTCTGACCAACAGAGTCCAATTTTCTCAACAAAAATTTGATCAACTTGGGCTTAGTATCTTCGTTAACTTCTGGGAGGCCATCGATAACAACGAAAGTATCGAGTCCTTGCTCGAGCTGTACTTCGAAACGTTCTCTTAAATCGGAAATGTCGAGCTCTTCCTCATCGTACTCATCCTCTTCTGGATCTGGGAGATGATCGAAACTTGGCGCCATGATTGCGATATAATGCGATCGACCAACAGCCTTTGCGCGTTCTCTTGTCAGTTCGAGAAATGTTGTTGGTGAGTTTTTGTGTGAATTCGTTTGGAATTTTTGACCCCACTAGCCCACTTCTGTACAGTCTATTTTGAATTAGAATATTCGATTTGATTGCAGCGTCTTAATATTGAATTATTGCAACCAAAGTCTTGAACTCCTGTATAGAGATAATTTCATAAACAAAGGACAAAATTCCTTGAGAAGAATGTGAGTGGTGGTCGAGATCAGGTTCTTCAAATAGACAAGGCTGCCAAAAAATCGATTTTCCCCCAACTTTAATTTTCGTGTGCGAGGCACTAACGAATTAATTTTAGAGCCACATTAGCGATTACTATTCGACGCGCCCCTAGAAACTTTACGCGACGACGAGGTGTTTTACTCCAAAAAAATTGTAGCACATCTCGCAGATCTCCATACAAAGCAAGATGGCTTCCTTTAACCCAACCCAAATTTTTGAAGATGGTACAACTGAGGAGAAGGGAGAGAATGCTCGTCTCTCTGCTTTTGTTGGTGCTATCGCAGTCGGAGATTTAGGTAACTTGAACCCTCCATAAAGCTTCAAAAGTGTAATTTACTGAATGAACATCTCTCTAGTCAAATCAACTCTAGGACCAAAGGGTATGGACAAGATCCTTCAGAGCGCAAGTACAGGCGAAATTTTAGTCACAAATGATGGTGCTACCATCCTCAAAGCTATTGCCTTGGACAACGCAGCTGCCAAAGTTCTTGTCAACATCTCAAAAGTGCAGGATGACGAGGTTGGAGACGGAACTACATCTGTTACTGTATTAGCTGCAGAGCTTCTGCGAGAAGCTGAGAAGTTGGTTGATAAAAAGATACATCCGCAGACCATTATCGAAGGTTATAGAATAGCAAGCCAGGCGGCCCTTTCAGCATTAGAGAAGTCGGCGGTGGACCACAGCAGCAATGCCGAAGCTTTCAGAAAAGATTTGTTAGCTATCGCACGCACAACTTTAAGCTCCAAGGTTCTCTCGCAAGATCGAATCCAATTTGCAGAGTTGGCTGTTGAGGCTGTTTTACGTATGAAGGGTTCATCAGACTTAAGTCACATCCAAATCATCAAAAAGGCTGGTGGAAAGTTGAGCGATTCATATCTCGATGAAGGTTTCATTTTGGACAAGAAAATCGGAGTCAACCAACCTAAACGATTAGAAAAGGCCAAGATTCTTGTTGCGAACACCGCCATGGACACGGATAAGATTAAGATTTTTGGTGCCCGAGTAAAGGTTGGCTCCACTGGAAAGTTAGCTGAATTGGAGAAGGCCGAGAAAGATAAGATGAAGGCAAAGGTTGAAAAGATCAAGGCACATGGCATCAACTGCTTCATCAACAGACAACTTATCTACAACTGGCCTGAACAACTCTTTTCGGATGCCGGTATCATGTCCATTGAGCATGCCGATTTTGATGGTATCGAGAGATTGGCTTTGGTTACCGGTGGTGAGATTACATCGACGTTTGATCACCCTGATCAAGTCAAGCTCGGTCATTGTGACCTGATTGAAGAAGTGATCATTGGTGAAGATACTCTCATTAAATTCTCTGGTGTTGCTGCTGGTCAAGCTTGCACAATTGTACTAAGAGGAGCAACTGAGCAGTTACTTGATGAAGCAGAGAGATCTCTTCATGATGCTCTTGCAGTTCTTTCACAAACTGTCAAGGAGCCAAGAACCACCCTTGGTGGAGGCTGTGCTGAGATGTTGATGGCTAAAGCTGTTGAAGGCGCCGCAGTCAAAGTAGACGGCAAAAAACAAATTGCTGTTGGTTCTTTTGCGGTAGCACTCCGTCAATTACCCACCATCGTGGCTGACAACGCCGGTTATGATTCAAGCGATTTAGTCGCTAGACTCCGAACAGCCATTTACGATGGTATGTCCACATACGGACTGGATCTTTTGACCCCAGGAGGTGGAATCGCTGACATGCGAGAACTGGGAGTTATTGAAAGTTACAAATTAAAGAAGGCAGTAGTCTCATCTGCTTCTGAGGCAGCAGAGGTCAGTATCATTATTCCCACATTTCCCTTCAATACTAACTCAAATTAGCTCCTCCTCAGAGTGGACAATATCATTCGCAGTGCCCCACGGAGAAGAGAGAGATGAGCATAATGAAAGAAAAAAATGACGACTGTATTATGAAGATGCAAAAATGGTCAGGGAGATTTGTACCAACTATACCATAGACATATTGCAGCAACAATAATGAATGAATGGATGAACAACCTCTAAATCCTCTTGGTTTTCTGTGATTATTTTAGAGATTTTCCGTTCAATGGATCTCGCACAACAGCGATTTATGTGATTGCCAGCCAAGTGATTGCAAGAGCCAATGCTAGAATCCACCTTACCACAGCTTTGAAACAACCACGCCTTTAGAATCCAGATAATCCCAAAGTTGCAAAAGTCAAAGCTATGGTTCGTCTGCTCCTGCTAGTAGAATCGCTTCCGTCATACGAATTTTATGATAGCAAAGTCTAAAGTCTCTCTTCATTGATCTAGGTATTTTTTTGCTAGTGTATTCCAGCTACTCCCGCAAACATTCAAACCTTCTTTACGGGGCGAGGGATAACAGGAATGCTCCTAATTAGACCCATGATCTTCTACATATTTTTTCCTGTTTGCTTTTGGTGTTATCACTCTTGGTCACTTTTCCGTGACTACTTGGAACAGAGGCTTACAAACATGTTGCTAGCCGCTTGGAATTGTCAAAGCCAAGCAAGTCAATGAATGAGACATGTTTGGAAAGGAATACCTAGGCATTGCTGGCGATGTGAGTGTATTAAGAATTGAGATGGGGTGATTATACCTAGTACAAAGCACGTATTAATTTGAAAGCTCCATCGGTTCCATAGGTTTAAGGTTTGAGGGATGATATCAATTTCATATTCGCTTACAGTGTATGATAATTTCTTACATCGTAGGTACTTTTTGGGATAGTTTACTCCGTAAGTGCAATTCCCAAGAATTTACAGCAATAGTACTATATCAGTGAAAATCTCAATCAAATTATCATATTCTTACCTACCTAATTGGTATTAAGTGTGGGAGATATAATTTCAAAACCTGGAATGCCAACAGGTATTGTTGAATTGACCCTGGATTGTACCAAGTTCGAGTCTTTGACTTGAGATTGTGTGTGAGTGAGTTGATGGGTAGATGTAGAAGCAAGGAGAAGAAATGTTCGGGTAAGCTGACGAATGTTCGAATCCTACCTCAGTACTAGGGAGGAGGGGAGGTGGTACTGTAAGCTGAAAGAAGGAGAAAAAACGCCCCTTACCTTCTTTCCCTTCTTCTTCTTCTTCTTCTTCTTCTTCTTCTTCTTCTTCTTCTTCTTCTTCTTCTTCTTGTTGTTGTTGTTCTTCTTTCAGTCTATCAACTGAATCGCTTCAATCAATAAATTATATAATTTTCCCCCATCTACCTACTAGCACTACCACTACCACTATCTACCCGGTAGCTTTGTTCCCTTCCCTCAGGCCGTTTCTACTCCATACTCCACATTTGGATTCCGTGTGCCGGTTCGTACCTATTGATCAATTTATTCTTATGCAAATTCAGTTGATCGAGGGGTTTTCTAGTGTTTACAAACCGAACTAGCTCATGTGGATGTGGATGTGGATTGGATCGGAAAAGTCCCTATTATTAGCCTTCTTTTTCTAATTCTTCTGACACGAAAAAACCCACCGAGCCACCGCGCACACACACACAGCTACACAAATCACAACCACCACCACCACCACCACCACATTTTGGATTATCCCATCCCATCCCATCACACCTCTTCCCTTCCCTTCCCTCCTTTTGTTTCATCGAGGGCAACAATTTAGCAATTCATTAATCATTATTATTTGTTCGAACTCGAGACTCGAATTCAATCGGACTTAATACACCTCAATTCGACATCGAACTTTTATCTTTGTTCAACTGCCGTCATACGATATCTCCTTTCATCATCAGCCTCTGCAAATAAATAAATCCCTCAAATACTTCGCCGTGTGCGAAGTATTAACAAATACACGTTGACCTTCAATCATGGTCAGGCCCCAGGCCTGTGGCGAAGCCGTGAATAATATATTCATCTTCGCAGCATTCTTTTTGGTTCTACCATGGTTAGTCGATGCTCAGCAGCAGCAGCGATCAGTTCTCAGGCAACATGAATCCTCGCCCGAGATCGGCAGTTCAGAGGCAATAAGGACTCCTCTCGAAGCAACTAAAATAAAAACCATTGAGACCCCTTTGGTCATTCCACGAAGAAAACAAACTTTTAGCGTAAAGGCCGGATCTCACGATATAGTCGATGCGAGCGCCGATTCAGCACCATTAGCTCCTTCACATCTTGCACAATCCAGTAGGCTTGAGTCTAACAGTCTTCAGTCTCCTGGATGGGGTTCTTCGCAGCCGAGTGCGCGGGATCTCCAAGACTGGGAAGTAGAAGATTTTGTGCTACTGGCGACCGTTGATGGAAGTGTGTGGGCGCGCGATAGAAAAACGGGTAAACAAAAATGGCGAATGCGTAAGTAGTCCGAATGAAGGCGTATTATTTGCTGCTCGATTCCGCTTCATAAGAACAATCACTAATCCTGACGAATATCCACAGAATTACCTGAAGTCTCGATGATTTCCACCAAACATCATAAGAGAAACAAATCTGCCGATTTCAATGAAGCTCCGACCCCATGGGGTATTGACGATTATGTTTGGATTGTTGAACCCACCGAACATGGTGGTTTATGGATATATCGCCCGGATGTTCCGAACGGTGGCCTGATTAACACAGGTCTAACAATGAAGAAATTAGTTGACGAAATGTCACCTTACCAGAGTGACGACCCCGAAGTCGTATACACTGGTTCGAAGAAAACTCAAATGGTGCATGTTGATGCCACCAATGGAAGAATATTACAGGTCTTTGGAGGAGATTACATTGTCGATACACAGGATCAAAGCTGTAGTTCTGAAAATGGATTTGTGGGAAGAGAAGCTGATGAATGTCAAAACCCCACGATTTGGTTGGGGTTATCAAAATACGAAGTCAACATCGTTGGCAAGGACCAACACCCAATTGCTACTTTAATGTACAATGAATGGGGACCTAATGTTCAAGACGCGAAGAAATATGGAGACAAATATCACCAAACACTCGACAACAAATATATCCTAGCTGGCCAGGATGGGCACGTGATGGGATTCGATCGTGAGCGGAACGATGATCATGAACTACTGTTCCAACAGAAGCTCCCTTCACCTGTCGTTAGGGTATTTGATATCTTTAGACCCTGGGGGATTGAGGAAAAGAACCTGAAATTGATGATACTTCCACAACCTAAGCCCGAGTTGTCGGCTGAAAACGAAATGTCAGAAACGGATCAGCATCGAAATCGAGTTGTTATCAACCTTTCTAAGGATGGAAGTTTCTATGCTATGTCTGGAAAATCATATCCTTTGGCTGTAACAGGTTCTAAAGCCGAAATTTACCAACGTGAATCGTTGAAACGCGAATCTTGGAAAAAGATGGGTCAGCCTGAGCTGGCGGCGGCGCTGACTGGTGTTCATTTTCTCGACGAACCAACCGAACCTCGCCTGACCATATCTGCTCCCCTATTCGAAGATGACAACCAAAGCAAAGTGACTGTCACAGACCTCACTCCAGAACTTCTTCGTGAACCAACTCTGTTACAAAGCTTCCAGCAAATTCCAAGGCTAGCGATTGACAGTGTTGTCGAATTCGTTAAGAATCCTGTTCTCATTCTATTTCTGATGATACTAGTTATCTCGAACCAAAGAGCAATACGAGCTTGGATCGGCCGCCATGGACTTCACAAAAAGAAAACTGTCGTTTCGCACAAAGATAGAACTGTAACTAAGGATGTGCCACCAGTCGATGATTCAAGTGACGATGCCACAAACATCAATGGTCACGAGGCTGCCCGTCTATCAGTTATTCCTGAAGACAAACCTCTTCGTGAACCTACCCCTATTGTTAAAGATTTCACACCGCTCCAGGACGTTCCTGAAGATACTGTTGCGGCTGTGCCACTTGAAGGTACTACTGTGAACGACGCTAGCTCATTATCAGAGGTTGTGCAAGATGTTGGCGATCTTGCCCTATCACCCGAAAAGAAAAGAAGGAAACGAGGACGACGTGGTGGCGTTAACCATCGAGGGAAGAAAGATCGTCCAGGCCAAACTGGAAGTGACCAAGAGTCTCAAAATGTTCCCGTCAAAAAGCTACCCCCAACCGTTGAAGATGCCGTGCACAATGTCAAAAATATGTTTCCTCAGAACACGCTCGAACCTGACATTCAGACGGTGTCTAATGACCCTGCGGAAGTTTCTGGTTCCAAAATTCGTATCGGGGCATTGGAAGTGGACCAAAACAAATTAGTCGGTACGGGTAGCAACGGTACCATGGTCTTTGAAGGGAAGTTCGATGGCCGCGCTGTCGCTGTCAAGAGGATGCTCATTCAATTTTATGACATCGCATCCCAAGAAACCAAGCTTTTAAGAGAAAGTGACGATCATCCAAATGGTAACTTTTCCAAACTCTCCCTTGCACTCATTCTCTAACATTCTAATAGTCATCCGCTACTTCGCACAACAAAGCGCTGCTGGATTCCTATACATCGCCTTGGAGTTATGCCCTGCCTCGTTAAGTGATGTCATTGAAAAGCCACACTTACATAGAGATCTGGCTCAAGGTGGTGAAAAGGACCTTCCAAACGTACTCTATCAAATTACCAATGGTATCCAGCACCTCCACAACCTCCGTATCGTCCATCGTGACCTAAAGCCACAGAACATCCTAGTTGCTATGTCTAAGAATGGTAAACCTCGACTTCTCGTTTCAGACTTCGGGCTATGCAAAAAACTGGAAGTGGAACAGTCATCTTTCAGGGCTACTACTGCACATGCGGCCGGTACATCTGGCTGGCGGGCCCCGGAACTTCTTCTTGACGATGATGACAAGCCAGGATCCATGGTTGACACGAGTACAGATGGAGGTGGATCAGGCTCGATTCTTGTTGGCTCTGATATGATGCACAATCGCAGAGCCACACGTGCTATCGATATCTTCTCACTTGGATTGGTATTCTTCTACGTTTTAACCAAAGGTAGCCATCCTTTTGATTGTGGCGATCGATACATGCGGGAGGTGAATATTCGCAAAGACAACTTCAATTTGGATCTCCTGGACGTCCTTGGAGATTATGCCTTCGAAGCTAAGGATCTAATCAGCTCTATGCTTCGCAAGGAGCCAAAATCTCGTCCAGTCGCAGCACAAGTTATGGCACATCCTTTTTTCTGGTCTGCAAAGAAGCGATTAAACTTTCTTTGTGATGTCTCTGACCACTTTGAAAAGGAAAAACGGGACCCTCCCAGCCCAGCCCTCTTAGAACTTGAGAGATGGGCCGGTGATGTCTGTCACGGCGATTTCTTAAAATCACTTGGAAAGGAGTTCGTGGATTCGATGGGCAAACAGAGGAAGTATACCGGCACGCGACTTTTGGATCTTCTTCGAGCCCTAAGGAATAAAAAGAATCACTACGAGGACATGCCTGACAAGCTGAAGAAAGATGTCGGTCCCTTACCTGATGGTTACCTCAGTTTCTGGACTAGGAAATTTCCTAACTTATTGATTGTCTGTTGGAATGTTGTGTACGAAGTGGAGTGGGATCAGGTGGATCGTTTCAAGGAATACTATGAGCCAGCAGGTCTTTAAGGTGCTCGTGGTTTTGGTGGTTGCATCATTATTCATGGCGCAAAGGACTATAAAATGGGTTATTATACCTCTTTCTTTTGGATAATGAGATCATGATCAATACCCAGCTGGAAATGGAGGGGTTTCTATATACATCCGTTGATGATTTGTGAAAAATATTAGTAATAATTACTTCTTTCGTTATCGCCATTGTAATTATTCACCCTTTCAATGATATATGTGAGATATTAGCTTATGAGCACTTGATGAGTGTGGTGATGCATCAGAGACATGATTTTATGTAGAAGATCTACCTACCTACCGAAGGTCTATAGAGACATTTCGATATACCTACCAGGTAGAAAGTAGGGTGAGTTATCATGAAGAAGAAAAAACCTATAATAGTACCTACCTAGGTAGTTGTATCTACTTCATCAATTCCTAGGTATTTATTCTAGAACTGAGTAGATGTACTATTCTCATAATTATTAATTGAAGGAGGTAATTCCAACACAGATGTATTCTTTCCGTTAGCACTTCAATGTCAGACATAGCATCCAACATACATTGGTTGGTCGAATTAAATAACAAAGCAATGAAAACACACATACAAAACGAATGTCTCCATAAACTTTATATGTGTACCTGTACCTACATCCCGGAGCTAATGATAAAGGCTTACCTAGTATTAAAAGGCTAGGCTTGGGCTAATCCTTGCATTCTCGTCGCATCATCATCTGGGCAGCTTTCCAACGAGACAACAATTGATAAACAAAAAAACTTCAAAGATTTCCTTCTTACATTCATACTCTGATACTCATGCCCATAAGTTTTGTAGCCATTTTGATCATAAATTTATTAAACACAATACAAATCAACCTTCAAAATCATCCATCTATTTCACCATTATCTTTTGGAGTGGAATCTCTTTATTCATTCTTTTAGTTTCTCATGGTTAATTTTGTTAATGCGACAACAATAACAATAATATTCCAACATCAAACTTATTAGCATACCGGCAGATAAAAGCCCCATCGTTCTATCCTTACTGCAAGTAAAGGAGGACTTCTAATCATTTTGTCTTTTCTGCTTCGGTTTGAGATTCACTCTTTCACTTGATACCAATTGTATTTTGCTACCTTCCTTATCCTCCAGGATTTCCTCTTCTATCCCATATCCCCTCTCTCGCAGGTAGCACAACTTCTAGAATCTGATATTGGTACAAGAGTTTTCCAACCAACAACACAATGTCTTGTAAGCCCATCTACTATATGAATCTACCTAATATACCACTAACTTCATTGAAAGTAACCTCGGAAGAAAACTCAAAGTATTCCATAATCATTGATAGAATTCTCAAAGAGGGTGATCTCAGTACTATCTCTGCGAAACAGATTCGTAAGGATCTTCAAGCAGAATTAGGATTTGATCTTTCCCATCAAAAAGTAATGCTATTTCTACTATCTCACAATTTCATGGTGCTAACTCCTGTCCTTTAAGGATGCCGTTAAAGCTTTGATCCTGGAAAGATTTGACGAAGTCTCGAAACACACTCAGGATGCATCCACCCCTCCACCTGCGACCAATGGACATTCTAAGAGCGAATACATCAAAGATGAAGGATCGCACACTCCCACATCAAAGCGGGAAGTTGATGGTTCTGACGAAGATGAGAAGCCAAAGAAGAAGAGACCGAAGCAGGATGAGGATGCGAAGTTGGCGGCTCTACTACAGGCGCAAGAAGACAGCAGGACAAGATCGACTAGGGGCGGTGGAACGAAACGAAGCGCAGGCGTTAAGAAGAGCAAGAGTACACCCAAAGAAAAGAAATCTTCAGCAAAGGTCAAGGCAACAGATGATAGTGACATGGAGTTAGGTTCAGATGGGGAGCCTAAAGAGGTCGTCAGAAAGGGCGGGTTTCATGTAAGGAGCTGCTCCATTTTTAAAAATGTTGCACAAGTAAACTAATTTCGAACAGAAACAATATAATCTATCGGCAGCTTTGGCAGATCTTGTAGGGGAACCAACAGTACGTATCGCTGTCTAATTGCCATCCTCTCATACTAATATGTTCCAACAGTTGTCTCGGCCACAAGTTGTCAAGAAGATTTGGGAACATATCAAAAGTCTTAATCTTCAGGATCCTAGCGATAAACGACAAATTATATGCGATGATAAGATGCAATTGGTTTTCAAAACGGAGAGAGTTCATATGTTTACCATGAATAAGCTTCTTGGTAAACAGCTGTACCCTGTTGAGGAGGAATAGGATACTTCAGTCATTGGCAGTATGGTGATAATACGACCGTTTTTCGTTTTCCATGAGGGCGTTTTGGGGAAGGCATTGCATTGAAGTTTTGGGTATCTAACTAGGTACTCGTAGTTAAGGGACGGCATGAGTGAATCCCAAGTTTTCGGGACCGCCAGCTCAGAATTATCTTTATTCGTTAGGGACAGCGTCTTATGGGTTTCTTAGATGTATGAATCATCTATCATTGACTAATAATAGACCCAAGAACCTGTCTCACAGTGACTTTGAACTTTATTTGTCTATAGCTTCATCTATGTAAATTCTTCGGGGTGACTCTAACTATTGATTTATCAGCCTTGAACGGTCACTCAGCAGCCTTGCCTTGCGTAGGCGGGGCCTAAGCGATTGCAGGCCCCCACACCTTCTGTGTATAATAATTTGTCCTGGTTGCTGTAGCTCTCAGAGGCAAATCAATAGTTGTTTTCCAAAGGAATTATTCTTATTTACACGAGAAAGCTTCAAGTCTATCCCCCAGAAAGTGCCAGCTTTACTATCACAACAAAAGTACTCTAGAGTCACAATTCGTACATCAAGACTTCATATCACAGAACGCTATAAACCTCTCAGTAAATTAGCAATGGCGTCCACAGCTGGAACTCCTTCTACAGCTGACGCTTCTGCGCTGCCCCGCAACGATGGGCAGCGAGGCCCAAGAGGAAGAGGAAGGGGTCGCGGTCGAGGAGGGGCTCTGGGAGATTCCGGTAGCGATTCTAGACGTTCGGAAAACCGTGGAGGGAGACGAGGGGGTCGTGGTGGGAATAGGGGACATACGGCTAGCCACGAGACTGCCAATACAAATACCAATACTATGAACTCTACAGATCCCAACGCCAAATTCTCCACCCAGAAGAAATTGTCCAGAGCAGATGGCGAAAACAAGGACGCAAATGGGGAACCGGTTGAAGTAGAGGTATGCTTCATTTGCGCCTCGGACGTCGAACATAATGCTGTCGCCCCATGTAACCATCGCACATGCCATATTTGTGCTTTAAGGATGAGAGCACTATACAAGTCGAAAGACTGCGGCTATTGCAGAGTGAGTCCCGCTGTTGCCGACTTCATCAAACCAGGCTAATATCTTCCAAGGCACCCTCGCCATTTGTTATATTCACAGACAATGCGACCAAAAATTATGAAGACTTCTCCGATGAAGATATTTCGAATACAGACCCAAACATTGGTATTCGATATGAAAGTAACGAAATTCAGGAGGATACCCTACTACTTCTACGGTATAATTGTCCTGATCCCGATTGTATTATTGCATGTAGAGGCTGGCCAGATTTGCATCGTCATGTTAGATCTATACATCAGAAGAAAATGTGTGATCTGTGTACGAGACATAAAAAAGTGTTCACCCACGAACACGAATTATTCGCAGACAAAGAACTCGAAAAACATATGAGGAAAGGAGATGATAACCCTGGAGCACTCGATCAAACTGGATTCAAAGGGCATCCTCTATGTTCGTTCTGTGGTCAACGATTCTATGGTGATGACGAGCTATTTTTGCATTGCCGAGACAAACATGAAAGATGCCATGTCTGTGATCGACAGAGTAATAACGGCCAACCACATTATTACATTGATTACAATTCCCTATCTCAGCATCTACGAAAGGACCATTTTCCTTGCAACGAACCGGAATGCTTGGAGCAGAAGTTTGTATTCTTTGCAACGGAGATGGATCTAAAAGCACATCAATTAGAAGTGCATGGAAGTAGTTTATCTAAAGATGTTCGCAGAGATGCAAGGACGGTTGATATTTCTACCTTTGAATATCGCCAACCATATGCGCAAGAGCGCAACCGCGGCGGAAATCAACGAGAGCAACGAGAAGGCCGTGGCAGAGGCAGGGGCAGAGATCCAAATGCTGAACCATTGGCACCTTCCAGTGCACAACCCTTACGTCGGGAAGAACAGGCTTTCCAGCGTCAAATGGCTGTGCAAGGCGCTCAAGCTGGTTCATCGAGAGCTTTCGGCGGTCAATTAACGGCGCCTACCCCTGCTCAAGCTAGTGCCAGAGTCAACCCGGCAGAATCCTCACGGGCTGCTTCCGCTCGGCCTGCAGCTAATGCCGGGGGTCTTTCCGAAGCAGTCAGGGGGCTGGATATATCTGCACCACAATTAACAGCCGAAGAACAACGCAAGCAACTTCAACATCAAGATGTCATTGATAGAGCGACCCGACTTTTACAAAATGACCAAACCAAGCTAAATCAATTCCGCAACTCCATATCTTCGTACAAGAATGCTGGGATTACTGCTTCTGCTCTCATCGATGCATTTTTTGCTCTATTTTCGGACACTACTCCGGCTGCACTCGGCTCGCTTATCCGTGAAGTGGCCGCTCTTTTTGAAGACCAGAGTAAGGGGAAGGCAATAGTCACCGCTTGGAACGATTGGCGTGCAATAAATGAAGATTACCCGTCTCTTCCAGCTCCTACTTCCAGTAACGGTAATTCCATACCTTTAGGGTGGGCATCCGCAAATTCCAACTCTTCATCTGGCCCACGATCCAATCGTGTGCTGAAATTGAAAAAGTCTACAGCACAATCCTCCCGCTCAACCGTCTCACAGAATCGGTCCTGGGGCACTGCTTCAACATCTGCTTCCACCTCATCACCTGCCCCATCCTCTTCAAATCAGTATAATAACCCCTTCCCAACTCTCCCTACATCCCGTCCAAATCAGACCGACTCCCGTATAACAACTACACCTTGGGTTGCACCGACTCCTGCAACCTCCTCTTCTTCCGCGCCCCCATCTGTACCTTCTAGTCGAGCACCTTCACGTGCGCAAGTGAGGAACGGAAAGGACACAAGTGCCTTCCCAGCGTTGCCTCCGGCTGCCAAACCGCAAAGTACTATATTTGGGTACGGCACAGGAATGGTAAGGAGGGATATGGGAGGTAGTCCGGTTGCAACTGCATGGGGAGCAGGAAATGGTGAAGGAAGTTCAGGGACTGGAGATGCGGAGAGTGCGGATGCTGGGCAGGGAGGAAGGAAAAGGGGAAACAAGGGGAAAAAGCAAGTTTTGATGAATTGGGGTTAAAATTTTGACTTTTGAGTATTGATTCTTATAGTTGAGTAATGGGTTAGTAGCAAGCACTCGATATTGCTGTGACTTGGAAGAGTAGATCTGATAAGATGAAGTTAGATGAAAGTTTCAGGACTGCTTTTGTACATGATCTATCCTGTGGTTGGTAGAAATATCGATTGGTGTTCTATTCACGGATGAACAAGTATAGAAAGTTTTCAATATTACGTGAATGAGAGTTTGGCTGATGACTGATTGATACTTGACGGAGTGGTGAATTGGAACGGAATACTGATAGGTTCTCTTAAAGTCTCCGGATGCTCTATGATGAATTTTGCATGTGTATGTGTGGGTTTCTAATCTAATGTTCACCTCCTTCTCCTGTAGCAATAACAGCGGATTTCTAGAGTGGTATGTATGTATGTGTTACTTGTGATGGATTTATGAGGGAGCGGTATGTTCGTATGACCTGCTTGATGTTCTTCATTTGTTCTGTGGTGATGTAGATGTAGATGTAGATGTTGAGTGTTGGAGGCATGTAGGTAGGTAGTTGGGTAGTTGGGTGTTTGGTTTTAAACTTTGAACTTTGATTATGGTTGGGGTTGGGTTTGGGGTTGTGGGTGTGGAGATGGTTGAGGGTGCTGAGGTGGAGGTAGGTGGGTAGATTGGTTTGGGGTGGTTTGGGGTTGGTGGTTGAAGTGGAGTGGAGTTGAGTGGAGTGGGTGGAAGTAAAGTGGTGGAGGGGTGAAAGGGTTGAGGGAGTGGAGGTGAAAGGGGATGAGAATGGGAATGGAGAGATGGAGAGATGGAGAGATGGAGAGATGGAGAGATGGAGAGATGGAGATAGGTAGGAAGAACATGTAGATACTAGTGATTGATGAGTAACTGAGGATGATAAAGAAGAGATGGTGATTTGGGTTAACAGTGTAAAGTTTGAGATTGGAGGGAGGAGGGGGGGAGATAGGACTTGGGATTAGGATTTGAGATTTGAGATTGAAGAAATGATACAGAGGTTTGGTGAGGAGATTGTTGGGCGGTATGTTGTATACTGTATACTGTATACTATATCGGGATTAGAGTATAGCTTGGAAGGAGTAAAAGGAAGAGAGAGAGAGATGATATCAGATGGACAATTGGAAATTGGAAATTGGGGACTGAAAATTAGAAGATTGGATTTGACAATTTGATTGTGATGAGCAAGACTGGAAGTTTGTTCGGTGTGAGATTTGTAGAAATCTCGCATGCTATGGCACTATGCAGTAGAGAGAGTTATTTGAAGAAGAGTAATGTTAGGAATGTGAGAATACGAGGGAAGTTGTGAGATGCGGGTATGGGGGTGAACATGTCGTGGAGGTAAAAGTAGGTAGCGACTAGGTATAGAAGGAAGAAATACTTGTTAGTATCAATCAATCTCAATACAGCCAGTCTCCTTGTGTATAGAAGTTGTGTGTTCTGGACTTCTCAGTGTTTGATTCATATTCGGATTTCAATGGGTTATTGGTTCTATGAAGATCTGTCTATTTACTGTAGAGATTAGTTATATAGAGATATCTAGAGGATATCGTTGGATTTAACTTTTATATCATCTTATTCATGAACCCCGTCCCGCATGATTCTGTAGTGGAATGTGAGTTTTCTGAGCTTGCGGAATTGGTTTGATGTTCGTTGGTAGTATTATAGTGTAATTGGATGAGGATAGTGAGAGAAAGATGTGGGGGGCCGAGAGTATGAGTAGTATATGGAGAAGCTTTTGGGTTGGGTGGGAACTGGGATTCGGAGAGTGATTCGGAGGGGCGATGTTGAAACATACACGTTTGATACAATCAGAATTGAGTGAAGAGTGACAATTAGGTGATGATTTATTTGCTTGCAGGAGGATAACAGTATTGAGCGGATAGCTAATCGAGTCTTGATCAACACCACTTTTGCTATTGGTTGGCTGACTACTTTAAGTTGATCGTAACTCTTTCCTCACGATGCATATCCTGGAAAGAAAGCTGGCAATGTGCTGTGATTGTTTGGGTCATACGTGTGAAGAATCAAACTACGCAAGAAAAGAATCATGAGGAGAGGAACTCTGAGAACGGGCAAAGAACGAGTATGGAGAGATTAAAGACGGCAATTTGATGACATTGCGTGGCTTCACATGATGGTCTGATTGCAATTCGGTAATTAGGGTGATGGCAATGCTCAGTTCATGGAATGAAGAGTGAAATGTGAAAGAGACAAATCGATAACATGTGTTCCGATGGAAGTAGTGACTCTGTAAAACGGGAATGCCAACAAAGTGACATTATAATTGCCACTTTATTTTCCGATTTCATGTAAAGTTCTTTGAGTCTAGAAAGAGCATGTCCTTTGAATTGTTGTTGCTGCTTGAGACTATAGAGCGTAGAATTTGATATGCAGAAGGGCCTCTGATGTAAACACGCGGTTGGGAAGAAACGGTGCTACCTTTGTTGTTTGATATCTTTCCATTTCCAATCCAAAGTGTCATGCAATGCTTGATTGCAGCTCAATGTAGCAAATGGTGGTAGCATGGAGTTTTGAAGAAGTATACCGTGGACTAAATGCGACTGTTCCATCTCCGGCTACTACCGAATTGAAACATCGGCCCAGTAATGTGTGTATACAATCAATATTGAATCCAAACTTTGAGATTGCTTTGTTCCATCACTCATTATATCATATGCAAGTAACCATTCCTACCGTTATCACTGCGCAACATGTGTTTGTGCTACTTGTTAAAGGAAAATACCCACGGTCAAATATCTAAATTGAGATTTATTGATCGTTTTGGTTATTTTGTTTGTATGATTTCATCATACCCTGCATGGGGGCTGAAGCAACTTTAAGCAAGGGATGTTTTCTTGTCGTCGTACTTCCTCTCATGCAAGGTGGATCCTCCGATATTCATTTGGTACTGGTACCAATTCATGTATATGCAGAGTACATCACTCCCAGCGAGAAAACGTAATTTCTGGGGCGGGTGGGAAAGAAAGAGGCGGTGTCGTGTTGCCATGTGTACTTTAGTAGTTTGGTATATCCTGGGATGAAAAGGAACTGGGGACTGGGCTCCTTTGAGGTACCAGGCAGTGTGACCTCTTCAATAGAGGTTGATTGGTATGACTCTCGGTGAGCTGTCAGTATGCGAGGATGCTTATGCTGCGGAGAATTGATGACTAGAATTGAGATGAGAAAGTTACGCAATACATCTGCTACCTAGGTAGGTACAGGCAGATAGGAGTAGAGATGTGGAGCTGCAATGTAATGTGAACACTGCATCTTGAAGTAGAGAATGTAAATGCATCGATAGTAAGTAGCCCGCAGCAGCTTGTGCTGTCGTGGATGGTGTATTGCATGATGATATGTGATGTTTGATCTCTACTTGACCTGTGCGATATTTCTGTCCCTTGGGATTTCAGACAAACCAATAAGGATGATGGAATATTACGTGCAGCAGCGTCACATCGGGGTACTGTATCTGGTTTGCAATCTTGGTAACATTGATTGTCGCTTAAGAGAGAAATGTGGCCAAAAGACCGGCACAAGAGTGTTTAATTAGTCATTGGGTAGCAAGATTTCGGCAGGAAAAAAGGTACCAGACAGTCCGGAAGGATCTATTTTCTTTGGGGAATGACCGAATGAGAAGGGATTTCTAAGAGAGAGGAAACAGAACTTAATTCGGCATTGAAACTTTTATGTAGGACATGGGCTTGGATATGGTATAGTATAGTATAGCAGCTCATGGGTTGAAATTCCACAAGCATACAGAGTAGATACCCACTTGCATATTCATACTGGGTCTGCATCAGTAAGATTATGTGTTGGTTAATAAATGACATTCTATCCGAGGGATATATAGGGAAATGGGAAGATGGAAATAAATACACAAATAAGAAATCTATTTAAGAGTGTATGGATGTAGATGTATTGTATGAAAGGGGACTAGCTAACCGGGCAATCAACCAGAAGATAGGTCTTGAGAGAAAAGAAGCGAGAGGAGAGGGAATTATACTATGTTATCATTGTTAGTATTGATATTACATCGCAGCAATACTACTTTTATCAATGTGCTTCAATATGATCCTACTTTGGAAAAGTATATTAAACAATGTCTCAATGTGAATGTGTATTCAACATCTATCAATATTATATAAAGATTACTTTTTGAAAAAATGATAGAAATGATACCTGCAGCAAAGGAGTGATTAGTAAGCCTAGATACTAGTAAATTGGGCTGAAAATGATTATCTATCAGGTAAGGTACTCGAGTAGGTATTACTACTCTGTAGGTATTACTAGGGATTTACCAGGGATTTACTATATCATAATTACTCTCTCTACGAGATATATTGAGCTGGGAGTATAATAGCTGAGTGTGATAGCTCTTCCCTCCCTGGTAGATTGTTAAGGAACCATCGATGAAAATTTGATCGTCTAGTATGATACCTTTCCCTTCTGAGATGCCTACCTTACCTTCCCTTACCTTACCCTACCTTACCAGCTGCTTGCTATTGGCTGTGTATGAAACGAAGACGGGATTGCTGTTGACCAATGATGAAGATGAAATTTGATATCTCTCTCTAGAATGGGAACTGGAGTCTTGAATCGTTCATTTAATTGGATCTGCTTATTGGTGTTTTATGGATCTCCTCCCTCCGCCCCCCAAAAGATTGGAACGGAATTTTGATCATTGCGTCACATCAACTTGATTCTTTTCTCTTCAGTCTACGACACTCTATAGTGTAGAGAGAGGTAGATGTGGGTCGAGGTCCATTTCGTATCTTTGGATTGATACTGAGCACGTCTAGAACGTTGATAAATTTGGAAACTAGAGATTTTATACCATGCCGACCACGACCTAATTGTTTCTCCAACCACAACCACAAAACTAGACTAATGTTTGAAAGGGATCAAAGGATCAAAAAGCTCACGCATGTATCCTAGGGCAAGGCGAGCGCTTGTAGTCCAGTAATATAGACTGATCCGCTTTCCACCATAACATGTAGCTT